CCCCCCCCCGCCAGGAATAGGGTTAAAACGTTCCATTGGAAGCGTATTGAGCTCACGTTACATTGAAATGTTACCATTCCTTTAGGCTTTAGCATGAACGATGCACATCTATCACTTAGTGTATTTTCCCGAAATGCATTATGTGCTATTTATCAAAGTATGATTATGTCGTAATGCAGCTTTCTAAAGACAACTGTAATGACAGTTGTATGAATAGTTGGAGTTTAAATGCTAGCGAGAATCATAAATCACAGTTAATTCGAATCCGGGATGCCCACAAAAGTGCTTTGAAATAAGCCGGCTAATATCGCATGCCCATCATCCTCCAAAACAGTAGTCCGTAAGCTCATATTCCGTGTCAATTGCTTCATCAAGACCGGGACTGCATTCCACGAAAAACAAACGATGCTCCACCCCCCTATCGCCCCTTGCAGTGTTTACCTAAGACCCAAATTCTTCTCCCGAGCAATCACCACACATCTCCGCGCCCGCAAGGATCACACACGGCGTTCAAAGTCGGCACTTTGGCGCAGTTTTGGGGGACCACCCTCGCGAAACACCTACCCGGTGACATTTGGCTCAGTGTGGTATAATTACACGTCTGCGACGGGCGGAGAGGGGCGGAGAGGGGCGGAGAGGATCTGTGACCGCGCTGTGACCGGGCTTTGTTCGCCGCCGGTGGTCGATTTACCCCAGGGCCGCCCACCGGGGGACAGACGACAGTCGCTGCCCGTCGGTCACCTGTTAGGTCTGGTTATTATCACCTCTCCACCCCAGTCCTCCGTCTCGCAGACTCCACACACCAGGCTCATCTTCTGGCATATGGCGAGCGCCCAGAGAATAACCTTCCAGGTATAAGAAACTGTCAACAGACTAGCACACTCGCCAGATGAACTCTCCTCTCCGTGTCGTTGAGGTCGCCAAACGGCCACCCACGATCGCCGGCACGCGTCCCGCTGGTCTCATGAGTCGCCTGTCGCGCGCATGAGTGACGCGGTGATGCGGTCAGTGACCAAAATGACGCAGCGTGCGCTGGGTATGCCGCCGGTGACGGACACATGACAGTGAGATGACGAGGGACAAGCCTAGGCTCAGATCGAACAAGATACGACCAATAGACGAAAAGCGGGAATGAGGGAATGAGCAGGACGGAGAAGGATTGGCCATGTGATGATGAACTTCAAGTGGATGGAGTTTGGTAACTCGGAAACAGTGGCTGCGAAGATTTATGCGTGAAGTGCTTTCCAGAAAAAGCATTATTTGTTTAAATCGTTTGAATTCACCGCCGGAACAAATACACAGAACTGTATTTGTTGCCACATTTAGGACCAAAACACAACTGTAAAATGAATTTTACTTCGGCTCTGGTATAATTACACATTACCTGGGCCTGTCATGTGCCCATCTTTACAGCACGACCGCCTCGTTCCCATTTACATATACATACATGAGCGGCCGCCAGACCGGGCCCGACCGACATGGCCACTTGTACTGAGCGAGGTGATTTCGTCCGGCGTTATGACGCCAATTACACGTCCAAATGGCCTGCCGGCCGCGGCGGACCGAGTCCGAGCTGCATTCCGGAGCGACGCTTCAGAGAGTGACGCCAACGGCCGAGAACGAGAACAGCACGAGAACAGCGGCCAGCGGTCAGCAACGGGCGGCCATCGACCAGCAACCAGCGGCCAGAGAACGGGCAGCGGTCAGCGAACAGCGGCTAGCAACTAGCAACCAGCGGCCAGCGACAAGAGGTGAACGGGTACAGTGCTCCGATTGCCGACACGAGAATAGCGGCCAGCAACCAACTACAACGGGCGGAGGTCATAGCCTTGAGGCCAGCAACCAGCGAGCAGCGGAGCGCCCCGACAGAACACCTACCAGAGATGGAACAACCAGCGACGAGCGCCAATCGGCCAGCGTCCCGACAGAACACTAACCCAACGGCCAGCGTCTGGCAATGGATGCCGGGCGGCCGCAGAATGGACGCTATGTCTACCATTGTGTTCCGTTTGTAGGTGGTAGTGCCGCCGAGACAGTATCATGGCGGCGGATCAGAGTGATGTGACGGGCGCCGGGAACACTTCGAGACAGGAGTGATAGGGAGGAATTTGGCGGCCCGACATACGATGAATTCCTAGATGAGGTTTTTGTGGGCTGTCAAGAAGGGCTTAGAACACTTGCCAGTTGTGATATTCAGTTTGCATAAAAATCAGTGCATTTGAACAGTCTGATATCCACTAACCACCTAACTGAACCGTGTGACCAGTCCATCCGGCAGTCAAATTATATATAGGTACCTATGTCGTCAGTAAGTAGAAAAATAACGTGACATATAAAGCCCAACATGGATCCATTCAAAGTAATCCTGTCAAGCTTCCACCTTTCCCTCACCCACCGTCTTAATCGCCCATCATTTCCAATACGCCGCCTCGGAAGCTGACTACCAACGCCCGACCAGCGCTCCACGCCTTCCATCAATATCGCTAGATGAGGCGCATTGTGAGCGCCGCGGCGGCGACCGATCAGCGGCGCCGCCCCCGCCCGCCCTGGGCGGCACGGTCCGCCCCGAGGAGGGAGGGCACGACAGCCCGACCGCGGGCACCGAATGAGGTCAGCGCAAGGACAGAGGGGCGGAGAAGGTGAGGGGAGAGGGACAGTCGGCTGAATCGTGGTGATTGACTCGGCCCTGTGGTTTGGTAAGGTCCTATCATAGTAGGTATTTGTGGTGGGTCAAACAGAATGGACATCACCTGACCACCGAGTTGCCGAGTTGCCGATCCCTTAGGTATTCCGTACGTATATAGGTACCTATTCATAGGAAGCTCCTACGCTTAAAATCTGGCTTAATTTCCTCCTCCAGAATATCGTAAGACTGCTTGAAAGCAAACGCATTCCGTAGCATAAGCCAAGTTTTTTGACAAATCACTTCATAAGTGTAGGTACCAGGGCTGCGGAGTCGATGGATTTTCGGCGACTCCGACTCCGACTCCGACTCCGGCTTTCAAAAACCAGCTCCGACTCCGACTCCGACTCCGGGCAGAATTGTCGACTCCGACCGACTCCAACTCCCGACTCCGACTCCGCAGACCTAGCAGGGCTGCAGAGTCGACATATTTTCGGTGACTCCGACTCCGACTCCGGCTCGGGTTTCTAAAATCGACCCCGACTCCGACTCCGACTCCGGTCTCAACTGTCGACTCCGACCGACTCCGACTCCGACTCCGACTCCGACTCCGCAGCCCTGGTAGGTACCCACGATTCTTTCCAAAACTCCGCCCTATAAGTAAACAGCCGAGCCCGAGACATTCGCCCGCCTATAGCAGCCGTTTCGCTCTCGATTTGAACACTTGCAGCGGCCGCGGGGCCGCGCCGGTCACGCTCCGACCCTGTGCGGCCAACGCGGCGCAGTGTTTTATGGTGATGTCATGATTGCTACTTTATAGCGTGCTCGGGATTTAGCGACGCCCTAAAACATCGATAATAATACGGTTGTGAAGACGTAAGGGCAGCCACGAGATGTGGCCCAAGTCGGAAATGCTGCACTGTTATTACCGAGGAATTTCTGTCGGATTTCCGTTTTATGAATCTCCTGAGTCATAAAGTGAGTCATACAAAAGTGGCGTTGTTATTGAAATGGCGAAATTTCGCGTCCATAACTTGTTAGCGTTATGAGAGCCAGACCGCTGATGGGGGTGTAAGCGACACGTTTTGCGCTCGTAAAACTCGGCTCGTGCATGGGGGTGGCCACATTCAAGACGCTCAAGGTAGATATGAACGTGAATGAGCTTCCAAACTGTCTAGTCTTTAGGTACGTCGTGTCGCCAAACGCATTTACACCTCAAAGAAGTTGTTAAGAAGCCACGATCATCCTAAGCGTGCCGACCGAGCATCTCGCCCATCTCGGAGACTTCAACGGACACAAGGCAAGCACCACCGCATGCGCCGGCCGCTGTCGCCGCGCGGGACACCCAGCGCCATCTCTGATCGATTCGCCGAACTACGGCCGTCGTTTCCGTGTCGGCAACGTAATGTTTGGCGATAATGGGTGCCATAAATAAGATTTACGCGTGGCCGGCACGCCATCTTGCCGTCGGGTGGTTCTGCGAAAACACTCGAACGCACATCCGTCCATTGCAGACCGCAAAACGGCCTATATGGCGAAGGCGCATCGTAAGTGTTGGCATTGCGGCCGCACAATGGCAGTGTTTCGGAACGGTTTGACTCGCGGCGGTCGTGCTGAGAGCGTGGCCGAGCCGTGCACACGGAGTGTTCCCGGGAACAGAGTGGCGTGATCAGTGACTCGAGCTGTTTCCAGGCGGGCGGACATGAGGGTGGGGCCGGCCGGTGAGCGTCTGTCAGTGGGGCGGGGCGGGGCCTCGGGCATTCCGGTGGAACTGGAGACAGTTGTGGTGACTGGTAGTGGCATCGATAAATCGCTGAGATAAAACTATTCGCGGTAGAATGACACAACGAAAACACTGGCAAAAGTCCCAACTATTATTTAGCTCGGCTTCGAAGCAAATTCATAATTCATTCATCCGATTCATGCATAATTTCTTAAAATCTGGATAATTTCTTTTCTAGAAACCGGTTGAGTAACGCACTAGTAAAAATGAATTGCCAATGACCGAATGTTCCATTTAAAAACAAGTTTCTGACCCCTGAGTATAAATTCGACAAAAAGCACAGCAGAGCTCACTGCGCCCCCGGGGTCCCTGCAGTCTCCCGCCGTGCCGGCTAACGCCGTTTGGCACGCTATCATTCACGAACATCCATCAAAGTCAAGGGATTCATTAAACGCACGAACAACCCAACACGGCACACTTTGTACCACTTGGCAAATTCTGACATCGTCAGCTAAATAAAACGGATGTGGATGCTCAAGCTTAGCTTGGCGTAACGTTTTATTTTGCACCTTTGATATTAGCCGCGCCTGTGCTTAATAGAAAAACTTCCATTCATCTCGAGAGGAACCCATCCAACATCCTTAAAAGTCTCGCTAGCTTCCAAGAACAGGTTTATTCTTAACTTACACAATAAAATCAGGTACTACCAAAAGTACACAGAGCTCTAATACCAAATGCTTCGGCAGTGTGGAATGCAAGACAGAACAGTGGTCATGAATCATCAGACGACAGAAATGCGGAACTGGAATGAAAAATGGGACTGCATGGGATACATGTCTGATCCACGTTTGTACACTGAACATCACGAAAACTAAACAAAACGAAGGGTCATGATTGAAGCGTGGCAGAGCTTTCCATACTCGACTCACGGCAGCATTTGGACTACAGTTGGGATGAGATTAACTCGCTCATTCTTGACTTCCTAACTCGCTTCCTAACCAACAGTCTTTTTCAACATCTGCATGGCGCAAGACAAGACACAGACCGCATCACTACACTGACTTTTAAGTAAGAAAGGCTACGACCACTCATTCCGGCAAAGACGAAATTCTCGCACAGCCAATCAGCATAGCAGGGATGGCACCATGTCACAAACTACGCATAAACAATGGCAGCCACGAGTGGCTCCTTTCTGGAAGGCCCTAAATTGGCCACTACAGCGCAACTGAAAAGGCACGTCTGTGATGCTACACTTCCTGAATGTTCGCCGTCCGTCTAATCAACCATCCCCTCAGAATCAGACCAGGGTCGGCGCATCCACCTCCTCGAGTTCCTTGAACACGCCGGCCGCCTCCTTGGGCTTCACCTGAGTCTTCTGCCCGTTCCAGGCGTCCAGCAGGTCGCTCCGGTCCAGCAGCTGATCCATCTCTTCGTCGGTGAACACGTGACCTCCGGCGCGCACCACACGGTGGTGCTGCCTCTCGCGCAGCAGTTGCAGCAGCTCCTCGGGCGACACGGGCGCCAGGCTAGTGCTCACTTGGTCCCGGCGACCCGACTTGAACTTGCCAGAGTGCATCACCATCTTCTCGAGCTTGCGCTTAGCGGCGGCGCGCTCGACGATGCGTTCGTCGATGGTGCCACCGGCGACCAGGCGGTACACGACCACCGGCTTGGTCTGGCCGATCCGGTGCGCCCGATCCTGCGCCTGCAAGTCGCACTGCGGGTTCCAGTCCGAGTCGTAGATGATGACCGTGTCGGCGCCGGTCAGGTTGATGCCCAGACCGCCGGCGCGAGTGGAGACGATGAACACCTTGACATCGGGGTCGGTGTTGAAGGCGGCGATGTTTTCTCGGCGGTCCTCGACGGCATCTGAGCCGTCCAGCCGCAGGAAGCTGTGGCCCTTCACGGTCAGGAAGTCGCCGAGAATGTCGAGCATCAACCGGAACTGGGAGAAGATGAGCACCTTGTGGCCGTCGGCGATCAGACGCTTCAACATCGCGTCCAGCACCATCATCTTGCCGCTCTTCTCGCCGACCTCGGGCACAAGGAGGTACTCCTTCGTTTCCGGGTCGATGGGATGCTCCAGCAGGAACGGGTGGTTCACCACATGACGAAGCACCATCATTAGACTCTGCATCGGCAGGTGCAAGCTGATGTTCTTCACCTTCTTCGCCGACGCAGTAGTCACGGCACGCGCTTCTTCCAGACCTTTGAGTCCGGCCATCCAGCGATCCTCGTCCTGGAGAACGTCACCAGAATCCGCGAACAGAAACTCGAAGTTGACCTTCTCCTTGCCAGCACGGCGCGGGCGGCCCTTTGCGTCCAGTTCTGGGGGCTTCTCCGGATCATCGCCGTGGCGCTTTCCCATCAGTTTGTCGATCGTCCTGTCCATCGCCGCCTTGTAGAGAGTCTCCTGGTCCTCGACGAGCGGGCAGTACACGAGAAGCTCTCGCTTCGGCGGGATCTGAAGATCCACGTCGCGTTTGACGCGGCGAAGCAGGAATGGCGTCAGGATCTTGTGGAGGGTGGACACCACCTGCTTCTCGCGCTCCTGGGCCACGATCTTGGCGTCGTCTTCCTCCGTGGTCATGCTGGTCACGTCGAACCACGACTCGAACACAGCAAGATCATCGAAGATCTCAGGAAGGAGGAAGTTCAGCAGCGACCACAGTTCGGCCAGGTTGTTCTGCAGCGGCGTGCCCGTCAGCAGCAGCCTGTTCACCGACGAGTAGCGCTTCAGCTCCTGCACCAGCCGACACTCGTAGTTCTTGATGCGGTGTCCCTCGTCGATGATCAGGTAGCGCCACTTGAACTGGCTCAGCTGACGTGCGTCGCGCATTATGAGTCCATATGAGGTAAGCACGACCGGGTGCACTGGGATGGAGCAGCCAGGAACGCGGTGGAACTTGGCGATCTGCGGGATCAGCTCGTCGCGGTTCGATCCGTGATACAGCACGACTGGGATGTCCGGACAGAATCGCTCGAACTCTGAGAGCCAGTTGGGCAGCGTGGACAGCGGCGCGGCCACCAGGAACGGGCCCACCACAGACTGCTCCACCAGGTAGGCGATCAGGCTGATGCACTGGATCGTCTTGCCCAGGCCCATCTCGTCGCCCAGAATGCAGTTGACGCCGTTCTCGAACATCACCTTGAGCCAGTGGTAGCCCTCCAGCTGGTAGTCTCTCAGCGTACCTCCTGTCAGCAGGCGGGGCTGGGTGCCATCGCCTGCCGACTCCTCCGTCGGCTCCCGCGCTCCCTCCGGCTCAGGCTCCGGCTGCGAGGGAGGCTTCGATTCCTGACTCGACGACTGACTGCCTCCCTGAGACTGGGAATCATCCTGCGAAGAGAGGACACTCTTGCGCGTCGAAGCGCGCTTCCTTCGGCCAGTAGCTGCCTTCTTCGCCGGCGGAGGTTCGGTGTCGTTTTCCTTGTTGGCCTGACGGCCCGACCTCCTCACAGGTTCGGCCGTCTCTTCCGTGTGAACACGCTTCTTGCCCCTCGCTTTCTGCTTCTCAAGTGTTTCCTTTAGCTTCTCATGCTGGTTGTCGATCTTATCCACCAGGTACTTCACATAGAACTGGCTTGTGTTTAACAGCCGTAGGAGACGTTTGAAGCGCGCTTCACGCTCCTCATGCTGGTTGCGGAGTTCCACCTCACGCATGGTTCGTGCTGTCTCACGCTCGTTTTCGGCAGCGATGCGCTGCTCCTCAGCCACCCAGTCTGGGTCGATGTCGGGCCCGAGCGTGGCGTCCGTAGGTTCGGCTGGCTCACACAGACCAGTCTGGGGAGAACTTCGCGAGGAGCCTTCGCCAGCAGTGGACGAGTCGTCACTACGCTTGTCCGAAGCGCCGTCGTCCGCGTCCTCCGTGGAAGGATCCCCACCTTGCGATGACGTGGAAGGATCCCCGCCTTGCGATGACGTGGAAGGATCCCCGCCTTGCGATGACTCGGGCGATGTCTCACCTTTGTCCGAAGCAGAAAACGACGGCAGAGGGTCCTCTGGATCATCTTCTACTGCTGGAACAGCCGTAGTCGCTTCTGTGGTTTCTTTTAGCGTGGAACTCTCAGGTGTTTCTCCACAGACGTTTGGTGAAGCATTTTCCATAGCATTTGACTCCTTAGTGGCAATGTCAGCCTGAGCCTTTACAGCGCTTCTCGGCTTCCTTGGAGGCATCCTGTGGCCGAACCTGGAAAGAACGACAAACTATTACTCCTAAAACTATTAAAGCAGCTTTGCAACATGTTCCTGTAACATATCAAATTGATCAGACATTAGAATATGCATTATGTACGATCAAAGTTATGGAAATATGCCTGGCACCTCAAATGATCTTGAATTGCTAGATTGATGAAAAACAAAAGCCAAAGACAGAAATATCCCAATCCACCAACATACATCTCAGCCTGTGCCAGCTGCCCCTACAGTCACTGAAACTTGCATATCAAGCTGCAGGATTGTAATCATAGATGTAATTGATACCAAGATTCATATTACAAAAAAAGGTAGAACATATCGATGTTATGCATGGAAGTCTCCTGATATAGTGGCAAACAGTTTGAGGCCGTTTGTTTGTTTATTGGGGCTTTAGGGCGAGCCAACTACTGAGGTCATTTTGCGTCCATACAGTTTGAGGCTGAAAAACAGCAAAATGTTAGCCTAAAGGGCATAAAGCTCTAATCAGCCTGAGGGCACCTCAAACTAGAGGGCTGAATTTCACCCTGCCACTAAAAGACTAAGCCCAGTGAATAGTGACACTCAGTCAAGCATGTAGCCAGGATTCAGGGGTGGAATTATTTTGCTCGAGGCAGAATAAGGGTACCAGACCAACTACTAAGATTCTACACTCGGTTGTGCAGTGACCATAAATGACTTTCCAGACAGAAACATGTGGTATAATTCCTGGCAAATCTGATAGCAGGAAGCTCTGTGATAGGTAGCATTTCTTGGCTCTCATTGGTAACCACAAACACATGTGAACTTGACCAATGCGAAGCCTTAATGTGCCAGAAAGCAGGAAGCCTGAGCCCTGTTTGCCCCTTGTTTATTTATCAGCAGACTTATGATGTCAGCAGTCTGTTTAAGTCATCACTGTGTAAGCTACACGCAATGTGAATGAGACATTTACAACACATGTGGTTGACTGTAGTTTGGCCCGTCAGCAGCCTACATCAGCATACGTCAGCAGCCTGCGTGCATTTCTCAGCCTCTCATTAGTCACCAGCACAGCCCCTTCAAAACAGTAAACCACCTAGTGGGCTGTAGGGGGAGCTGTTTTGGCAGTGGCAGGTTAACAAGGCTATGCTGAGTAAAAAACAGCAACCAAACATTAAACAACACCATTCAATTCTTACTGAGTTGAAAGAGGGCTTAACTTTTTCTTTGGTGGATCATCATAGTTACATAGGTACATAGGAAAATTGTCTTTCAGCATATTGAACCAAATCATGTCTGAAATAAATCATTGACCCTTCCACAAATCCACACTCTCGTTAGCGTTACACTCGCACAAGGTCTCAGCTGACAGCTCTGCGGACCAGCTGGGAATGGATGGTTGAAGACAACCATTGAACCAGGACATGAGGAACACAACATTGATCTATGCTGAAATAGCTCGAAGTTCGAACAGAGGACCAGCATAAGTACTTATCACATTGGCACTATTTACAAAGATTATACACATCGACATGCACACAAACACCATAAAACTGAAGTTTTTACTTACAACTTCTTTCTCGTCCCCCCACTATGGCAAGCACGTAAAGCTTGAGCGAACAAGAAGTAACCAAAGAAAGTCCGGTAGTGATTATCTCAAAGAAAAACTGAAAATTAGCCAGCCAGTGCCAGCCAGTCAACCAAGAAAATAATTACAACAACCAAACAATTACATAACACAAATTCGCGCCAAATATATATGACCAAACAAATCGTAACACAAAATATGATGAAACTGATGACGACAAAGATAACGTTGCTTACTTTTCAGATATTAACCTTTTGTTTCTCTCTCCTGACTTTTTCAAAGTTTCCGTTCATTTCAAATATAATATTATATGCATATCAAAATCATCATGTGCTTTTACAATTTTAAAATGCACTCAAAAATTGCTCATCAGGTTCCTAGCGGATTTATTTTCCAAAGCCTATGACGTCATCTTGTATATGTTATTTAGTAATATGCAGGTTTTTAGTTATTTACTCCCAGTTGTGATTTATCGGCCTTGATATCGATATTGAGAAATTTGAAGAATTTCTGTTTCATTTTATGGGATATTATTCTTGCTTGAACGATGCAAAAAACATGCAAAATGCTGGAGTCTTTTAGTTTTTTCGTTGTTGCACTGAACTCTATAATGTGGAATGCGCATCGGCCGCCAAATGGTGTCCAACGGTGCCGCCATGTTGCGCAGACCAGAAAGCGGCCGCCGCCTGTGCTGGGGAATAGGGAATTCGGGACCTCGATTTACGTTTGCGGTCGCTGCATCCGTTACGCTCAAGCTATGTGGACACGGAACCCGGCATCTTACGCAGAATTGAGTGGAGAACAAGATGAAATCCTAAAAAATCATCAGCTATAAGGAACTAATACGTTAAACCCTTATAAGTCAATGGGGAAATATGAAAATTGTTATTTTGGCGCCGAGAATGATCTGAAACTATCTCAAGCATATAAAATCATGATTTCATGCACTCTTTGCAAGGTTCTATGCTTCATATTTGCATTGTTGCCCTTGCGTGACGTCATTTGTGACGTCACAAGGGTCACCATTTTTCTTCGATAACTCCCGATCAAATTGAGCTAGCGAGTCGGGAAAGCCACCAATGGACTCAGGAAGACCTGCCAAATCGAATGATATGCGACATGACCTCTTTCGACCAACTTCGTGACCTGGGGGTGCTGACCTGACCTTGACCTGAGGTCAACACCCTAAGTTGATCTGACACGAACAAAAAGTATATCACTCGATTCGCCTGAGCTAGCTGAACACGATGATGCCAAAATCGCGGCTCTACGGCCATTTTTGGCGAAGTTATTTACGAAAAACCGAACCCGTGCCTTAGATCACTTGACCTGACCTCAGAGGTCACCGGTTGACCTGAGACCCTTACAGCGGGTTCCTACCAGTCACTCTGCATTATACTTTGCCGCATACGACCACTTTACCGCTTAATTCTAGTTTAATTAGCGGTGCATTAGCGAGGTGGGTTCAGTCAACCCCCTCGGCCGGGGCAAATGTAGGTCAGGCGAGTAAATTTGAGGAATTCTGAAGATACGATCGTGTTCCCCACTCAATTCTGCGTAAGATGCCGGGTTCCGTATCTACGTAACTTGAACGTAACGGATACGGCGGCCGCAAACGTAAATCGAGGTCCCGAATTCCCTATTCCTCAACACAGGCGGCAGCCGGTTTCTGGTCTGCGCAATATGGCCGCCACCGTTAGACACTACAGCCAATAGGGTTGAAGCGGCAGCATATTTACGTCTGGACAACGAGTTGCGTTGGAGAGGCCGGAAATAGTGGCGATTTCAGGACCGCAAGAATGGACCGTCATCGGAATGATTCTTTTTTAAACCGTGCACTGTTTTCGGCCCGAATTTAATAGTTACTACAAAATATTTTGTAATTACGTTTCCACCAAGAATGAATGCCATCAGGGCTGAAATTTTACCACTTTTGCATTTTGTCAAGAAGCATATAGTGCTGTTATATTGCAGTTTTAGCGCGTTTGTTACAAAATATGAAGCGAATAAGCGTCAGTGTAATTCATCCAAAATTCATCAGTGCCAGAAGTTAACTTGAGGGGAAGCTATGCTAATTGCTCTTGTTCATCCACTAGAAGTTATTAAATATTTTGCCTTGTGTATTCCAAAAGGAGAGGGAACTATTTTATTTGTGCCTTCATGTCAGAATTGAAGGTTGATCATTAAATTTTCAAGGCAGTTTACAAACAAGCTGAAGCATTTGGTCTTTCTCGTATATAAGCAGTGGCTAAGAAGAAAAGGTTGATAAATCCTGATCCTGAAGTTCAGTCATCGTACCTCAACTTGACAGCAAGATCCCCAAGGACAGAGGATACCTATATTCTATACCTGTCCTGTAAATCAAAGCATTTTTGTGCCTGCAAAGGCTTAAGTTCTTTGTGGTGTGTTCGGAGTGAGGCTATATGGCCGTTTTTGTTGTATTGGAGATTGAATATAACTGTGACCCTGTGCTTGTTTGTATACTTACTATGGTCAAACAGGGAACAGCACATTCACATAACATATTCACCTAGCACCTAACTCATAGCTGTACCCTGCAGGATCTGTACTTGTTCATGTCTCGAGCATTAACAAAGCACTTAAGTAGCTTAGCAATCATTTCCCACATTTTCTGAGCATCTAACATGACATACATCAGTGCAGAGCAGCTTCAGAGAAGAAACACTTTAAATGCACAGACTCACACCAGCCACCCAATGAGCCAGTTCCTCAGTTGACTGTTTCCCTGGATGCAGCTTGGCAAGGTGAGCTAACTATTGGCAAGTTGAAGGTTAGCAGGTAAGATTGAGTTAGGGTGACTACCTACCTATAACTGGGTGCTACTGCTATGCAGGTCTTGGGTAGGCTGCAAATATGTGTGATGATTGAGGTTAGGTCAGCTGTCAGGTTATTCAGGCATGCTCATTGCTCAGGTCACATTTTTATGGACACTTGGCAAATTAAAAAAACTAACATAACCTAATCTAAGCTAACCCGACTAAACCTACACAACTGCTGACTATAGGAACCAAGCACCTACCTACTTGTGCCTACATCTCATACCATGTCAAAGTAGAGTTCCTTGGTGGAAGATTACCCTCAGTACTTTTTATCCCAGCCCTGTGAAGAAAACTAATACTTCTAAGCTCTGAGTCACTGCTGGCCATCCACAGGAAGAAACGCTGAGACTGAGAGCTTTGCCATTGTATATTGGACCAACAATCACTATCACGAATGACTATGAACACATTATATGATCACATCGTTGCATGGGTTGTCACATTGACAAGTTAATAATAATCCTTTTTTCAAGAAATACAGTAATGATTAACATCAAAATCAACATAAAGTGGATCTAGTGATCCAAGCTTTCTCCTCCAGTAGCAATGGAATGATCGCATGTTTCATTTGCCAGACACTGAGTACCTGATGCACATTACAATCTGCATAGCATCTAAGCATAGTAAAGCTGCCAAAGTCCATTAATTCTAGATTTTTAAATGGATAGCACTAATTTATCTTCCTGTTGTAAGTTAACATTCAATATTCATACCAATACATCAATATGCGCAGTGCGCTCATCAGTCAACATTGACATTTTCTGGCATGATCCTGCTCAGCGCGCTAGTCTTCAGAGTTCAGTATTGCTCCAAGATCTGCAATATTATAGCTTGTTTTCGGCCAATAAGCTCTTTTAATTTTACTTTTTCTTGCTGATATATGAGCCCGTTTAACTTGCGTTTATCAACCAAAATTTCATAACTTCAAGTTCAACTTGATATTGATATTGCTCAGGAGTCAGGACCTTTGTCAGCCTCCTGGATACTTCGGATTGTATTCAGTCACATGCTTCTTAAATATGATATAAGTCAATCTTAAGGGATTCAAAACATCCAACAAAACGACGTACAAGAGTACGGAAGCCACCAGATAAACTTAAAAATGGCCTTGGAACAGAGCCAAGTGGTGCTCCATTTGTTTGTTTACAATGATTGTAGTACGCGTATTTTTAGGACTCTGACGGTCGGCTTATAAAAAATGAAACGTTTTTACAAAAGTTGTAGGGCAAGTAATATTTATCTTAAAGAACTAAAATATTAAAAAGCAAAACACTATGAAATACATGAATCGGAACCAAAAAATAACAAAAAAATCCAGCCCAATCACCGGCTCCTAAAACTGCGACAAAATCAGCACTTTTCCCCGCAACTCGTTGTCCAGACGTAAATATGCGAAGCGGCATTGCTCCCCTGTGCGTTGTTGTTATGCTGCGAGACTTTTGACATATTTGACGCAGTTGCGACAATCCGACTTTGACACATGTCCTACTGAAGCCGTCACATTTAGGTCCGGTATTTCATGAATTTCTTGGCTATTTTGTTCCAGATTTGGTTATTTTGAGTGGAAATTACGTTTTATGGTATAATTTTATCTTTCAATAGATTTCCTTCGAAGTTGTATGCCATAATATCCGTTGAATATGCATAAATATGGAATGAAACAGCATCTGTCGGCTGAGGCTTTCTTTCCTGCATCATTGTAATATATTATTGTTTTTGTGATTACATTAGTAATTGGCTCATGGAGATATCTTCAAGGAGTTTTTGCCTATTTGTCTTACATAAGTAGAGTAAATACACATTACAAAAATCACAATCTCCTATACCCGCAGATTTACAAAAGTGGTCCTCATGCCAGGCTGTGAGGTTTACTGTACCCGTCAAAAAGTTTCTCCAATTTCCAAAAAACCCTTGGCTTTTATTCCTACCCTTCCCTGTCAGTTCAAAACAAATTTTTCTTATTTATAGTCAAAGTTGATAATTTTTCATTCTAAAAAAGTTTAAATGTTATTTTTCAGTTTGAGTTTCAGTTTCAATTTCAGGTGCCATTGGGGGTATTTGCTTCAAATGGCACCCCTGAATGATTTGCTAGTGATCTACTACGCCAGACACAACATAAGTCCCACTTTTATTGTATCTGTGGACCATTTGGAGATCTTTTTGTAGGTACCAACAAGAAGCTTATTGGGCACATGAGGGTTGTTTGATTTCTAATAGGGTCCTTTTTGCAATGTATTTTAGGGGAAATAAGTTTAGAAGCTCAATGGCATTGTATGGTAAAATAGTTTTGCTAATTTAAAGATAAGATTTTGAGCCAATAAAGCTCTGAAACTGGCTCCAGTGTTTTTTTTTTTTTTTTGCTCTTACATTTATCTCATCCATATGCATTCATTGGTTCTAAATCTTTTCACACTCATTTTGCCTGAATCTCATCACTTATTGTTATTGATTTTAAAACAAAGTCACTGAAAGGAAACTTGGTGACTAACCTTTGACTAAAGAACCTGTACCTCTGTGCTAAAAATGTTACATTTACTTCATAATTGAAATTCCAATTTCATGAAAACTTTTCGTTGTGAAACATCAATCCTTACCTAACCTAACCTAATGCCTACTTCTGAAATGAAACATAAAAAATGGTAGCAGACTTGCCTTGATGTCCCAATGTTTATGTGGGGTTGACCTCAACCATTTTTCTTCTCCCAGCCTTTAGCCTAAATCAATGTCTTACAGCAACAAAATGTAACAATGCAGTTTTGACTAACCCATTCTCTCTCTCTCTCCTCTGTGTGACAGACTAGTCCGCCGCCGCCATGCCGCCGAAGAAGGCCGCAGAGCCCGAGAAGCGGGCGCTGATCGGGCGCGTGGGCACAAACCTCCGGATCGGTATCGTCGGACTGCCGAACGTCGGCAAGTCAACCTTCTTCAACGTGCTCACCAAGTCGCAGGCCCACGCGGAGAACTTCCCCTTCTGCACCATCGACCCCAATGAGAATAAGTATACTTTTGAATGGGTGGGGGGGGGGGGGGGTAGGACAGGACTGTGACTGTCTGTTTTTTTTTTTTTAACAAGAGTGAGCTTTATTGTGAGCGGGCCTTATGTCAATGATTCTTTTGTTTAGAGTGCGACAAACTTGATCGCATGGTGAAAGATGTTTCAGGTGCTATATTACGTCGTTACGATAAGTTTTTTATGCGTGAAGAAATGATGCAAATCTTCCTTATCTTAATGACCGTGTTCATTTAGTTCTCTATCCTGAATGCATAGAAGCACATTCTAGACCGAGAGAAGCCCTTATCCCCCCCCCCCCCCTCCCCCGTTTCGTCCTGCCGCCAGCTTTGACACACATTTGGAGACTTTCAGTCGCCTCCCGCCGTATCACCTGGTCACTGTCACGACACGGTGACACGCCTCGCCAGCAGCGGGCCCGCCCTGACCCGCCCCCGCCCCGCGCCCGCCCCCGCCCGGGGCAGCGGACGTCCGTCCACCGTCCACCCACCGCCCTGCGTATATTATTACCTCCGTGCGCTACAGTTGCGCCGTATGATTTATCCGACGGCTCGACGGTCATTACGACCGACACAATGACAAGTTTCTGGGCGACACGTACGCATTTGGCTGCGTCTTGCCGGCTGGCCAGGAGCAGCAATTTGGTTGTGATTGTGGCGGCGGGGCCGTGTGTCGCTCGCCAGTGACCGACAGTCGAGTACAGAAGGTGCGACAGAGAGCCGACGGTGCGATGTCGGTCGGTGCGTGGCTTTGACGTGATCCGAGGGATCTGTGGTGATATCTGGTGGTCTGTGACGTTCTGTGACGATCTCTAGAGATCTTGGTGAACTATGTGGTGGTCTATGGCGTGTGACAGTCATCGGGGCCGCATTGTGATGTCTCTCGGTGGTTTGTAATCCACTGTGACGGTGGCGGCTATCTCCATGAAGACGACAGTAGATGTATCGGTGGACTACCAGGCGCCGTCGAGTCAAACGCTCACGGAGAACACCGGTGGAGGCGTGACGCCTACTCGCCTGGCTTACTGCTTCACTGCTCGAACGATGGCGGGGATGGTGGAACGGCTGTGGGAAAGGGGTCGAAAGGATGGTTGAGAGCTCCGATCGCACCGATAGCTGGAGGATGAGTGAGCTCGCCTGCTAGGTCCCGCCAAGAGGGCGGTGACCCGCTTGCCGGTTCACGAAGTCATGACCGGCTGTGAACTTGGCCGTGGGCTTATTTTGAGAAGTAAGCTCGATAGAATCGGGAAGGAGATTCAGATCTGCTTTGGCGGCGGAAGCGATGCATTTTGACGCCGTCGACCCGCGAAAAGGACACATGACGTCACGGAATACATGTGTTTGACGTCATCAATCGGACATGTGACGTCAGGGAACGAATATGTGACGTCACACAATGAAGAAATTACGTTACCAAGGTCATACACCGAGTAATTGAGTTAATGTCAAGTGGCTTATTAGGACGTTATGGCTTTAAACCTAAAACGCGCTAAAAAATTGGTTCTGGTTGACAATGGCTTACCTTGTCACTCATACACCCCCTCTCTGGCTCTGCCGAGTCCCCTCCACTTGGACTAGTGTCAGTTGGTCTAGTATCATTTGGGCTAGTTCATTTGGTCTAGTGCTTTATTTGGTCTAGTGCCACTTGAGCTAGCTTCATTTGAGCTATAGTCTGTTCCATATCAAGTTTGCAGTCGGAGTTTCTTCGGCAGATCGCTCCTCCGCTCAAAAATTTTCGTCTTAAAATGTAAGAGCTGTATAGGCTGTATATACAGAAATCACGCACTGCTTTCAGCAGGGCACTTCGGCTGCAAGCTTGAAACGGAACAGAGTATAGTGTCATATTTGGTCTAGTTCATTTGTGCTAGTTCCCGAAATTTATTTGAAATCTAGCTTATTTGAAAATTTATTTGAAAGAAAACTAGCTAACTCAAAGTCCATGATGCCAAAGGCACTAGCTCAAATGAATGGCACTTTGGCACTAGCTCAAACGAAACTAGCCAAACTGGCGCTAGACCAGCTGAAGCACTAGACCAATTGCACTAGCTCAAAAGGCACTAGACCAAATGATGCTAGACGAAGAGAGTGGCACCCGGCTCTGCCCTATGTCGGTTTATAGCCGGCCCCTTCCCGCTACAGACTCCCGCTCCCACTATCCAGTCACACTTCCTCACCTTTCGATCAAACGGCGTACAAACCTTTGGTACTTCTCCGAAAGCATCCACCGTACGAAGCGCTTTGTAGCGGTGTGGGTTACCTTTCCGTTTTCCGTAGTCGGCAAGAAAGCCAAAATCACTGTTCGTTCATAGGTCGGTACTCTGGCGCTCAGCCAACAGAGAGAATGCCGCCCGAGGCGAAATGATGACGTCACAGTCCGTCGACGGGGAACGCGCGCGCGCGCGCCTCTCTCTCTCTCTCTCTCTCTCTCTCTCTCTCTCTCTCTCTCTCTCTCTCTCTCTCTCTCTCTCTCTCTCTCTCTCTCTCTCTCTCTCTCTCTCTCTCTCTCTCTCTCTCTCCCTCCCTCCCTCCCTCCCCCCCCCCGTGGTTTCTGATATCCGTTCGGTGGTGAGCGCTACAACACAACACCATTAGATGGTGCGATTTACCTAAGATTTCAGTAAGATTGTTGTTGATGCTAACGGATTGCAAAGCCACGTAACAACAATCGTGTGGGTGGATAACAGTCGCCTACATGATTCTCTGTTTTGGAGAGAACGGAACGCAAAACCACGACTCGGGGATCGTGATTCATCATTGATGGTGTTGTTTTCCTCACATTAGCGTACAATGCTGAGTAACCGGAGATGTAACGGCGAGATTGTGCATAACTGCTCACTGTGCAGTGTGCATCAGTGTTACCGGTATCCCGACGAACAAGACATTGACGTTTGACGTTGCTGTTATTTGTTAGGGGATATGCTTATATGGAAAGGCGTAAAGCTCTATGTCATTCACATTAACCTATGTCTTACTTTGACTTAACGATGTCACTGTATCTTTGACCTGACCTGATGTCCTTTATCAGCATCCGTTACCCGATGACAGGCATTGTAGCCCACCGTAGCCTAGTAGTGTGACCAAGTTCCCAACATCACCAATACCAAAATCGATCAATGCACTAATATCAGGAGTCCAATACTGACTGACGTTCCATTACCTGACCCAACGAAATCCATGTGCGACCCATCTGGTCTACCGTGACTCGTTCAGCGCCCTGTTTCGGTTTGTTCGGACGCTTCTGACCTCGACTCTGTTTCAGGCACGTCGTGTCCCGGTGCCGGACGCCCGGTACGACTTCCTGGTGGAGCACTACAAACCGGCCAGGTCAGTCCACGCGGTCTAAACCGTCTCGGTCAGACATCTTTCACCTCTCTTGCCGTATCTCGGCTTGTGTGTGGTGCTTTGTGCGTGACTTTGCTACCGGGGAAGTCTTAACCCGCGCCCCGTAGGGCTACCGGCGGACCCTACCACCCGTAGGGGGGGGGGGGGGGCGTTTCGGCCCCCCCCCCCTAAGATCTCGGAAAGTTACCGGCCGATTTTCAAAATTCAAACGGCGTTTGATAGCCCTACCCGGGAACTACCTTGTGACCAAATTTCATTGACCTAGGTCAAACCGATGACGTCACAGGTCAGGTCAAAGGTCAGATTTTCACCGTTCACAGGCAATTCAAGAAATGTGCTGTGAAATCGAGTAAATTGGTAATTTATTGAAAACCATCGATGGTATATTGTTCGTCAAACACATACTTTGCTATCTGAGGTCACTGATACCAGGTCAGGTCACAGCGAGGTCAGGTCACCGGGGGTCACAATATGAATGTGTCGTGTGATACATGTTTTATGGTCCATTTTACATGACAAATGCGATTATGTGGGTTAGGCAGCCTTTGGGGCCAGCCTAGGTCACGTTTTGGTGAAGGTCAGGTCAAGGTCAGGTCAAATTAGGTCAAATTTCAAAGTTGATATTTTTGCATAAAATGGGTATCCATTCGATGCAGCTCGTCACGGGGAGTCTAATGGTGGTCTTTGTTTTGCTCTACGAGTTCTACGAGTTCTAGAATTGCCAAAAATTGAGTTTGAAAATTTGACGTCATCATTTTTGAACAGTTTTTTTTCGCTATAACTTGGCCAAAAAACGAGGTATCGATCTGAAATTTGGTATGTAGATAGAAGACGGTAGGTACTATCACATATATTCCGGTTTTTTCGAAACTCAAAAAACTTTTTGGATTTTTTGGCTAATATATCCAAAAAAATACTTTTTTGATTTTTGGGGATCAAAACTCAAAAATTTCAAAAATCCGAGATAGCAGTTTTGTAGCCCTGTCAATTCTACACCTTTTATGTCTTGATCATTTTTCTGTATCTTCAAAGCTGTAGGCCTGACAGGTCTTCTCGCGAAGGTCTTTTTTCGGTCGAAAATGACAGAACATGACGTCACTCTGACGTCATTTGTGGCCAACCTATCACAGCCTCTGGAAAAATTTTTGGTCACAATGTGTAAAATTGATGCCCGGAGGGGTCCTGAAAGTTTGGTGGCGATATCTCCAGCCGTTTAGGAGATATCGACCGAAAAGGACAGGGGGGGGCCGTTTCGGCCCCCCCCCCTACGGGGCGCGGGTTAAGCCTGAAACAGACTCTTTCCGCAGTCAGGAAATCGCATGCGAGAACCTATTCAAATACATGGAAGCACGCTCGCATCAATCGCACGCACCTCCCGCAAGCGATTGACGCGAGAATGCATGGGGGTGCGTGAGCTGTCATCATCGCTAACAGTGATTAGTGAATTATTTAACAGTACCGACTCTCTGTGATTGAAATAAGTTTTTATCGTTTTATCATTTACCATTAACCATTAACCCTTCTCTTAGTTGCTTCCCTTCTAAGGCAATTTATACGTAACTGGCTCGCTTTCGATAGCTAATTGGCGTGAATCTGTGTGTATATACTTTGCCTAAAACGTTTTTGTTTTTGGAGAATCACCCACACAGGTGCAGTTTCATTCTTGTCTGGACTGACCGCTGTATGCTCGAGTCTGCTATAGGAAAGAGCAAGAAATGCCACTATAAAGAATTACCGCTCGGCTGCTCCGTTTGATGAAACTAGCCCGGAAACCGCTTTCGATTATTGAAACCGTATATACGGTAAAGAAACTTATCGTAGAAGGCGATAACCTGGCGTAACTGTTTATAAGCCACAAACACTGGTTTAATGGCATTGCGTGCGTTCCGTGCATTTTATCGCATTGTGCCACGCGATCCTCACGGGCCTTCATATCTTGGCGGTTATCTGCCGGTTTGAGATGAACTGTTAGTGGTCCACAACTGGGCACGAATCTTACCTACCTGCCCCTTCCATCCTAAAGACTAAATAGGTCATAGAATAACATGTCAGTCGTGTTATAGACGCTTTTGAGTATCGATGCTGGAGAATGACGTATAATGTGGTGTGTTTTGCTTGAGGACGGGTGGCTGGAGCGTTTGTTTTTCTTCACACTGATTGAATTGATTGATTGTATTGATTGATTTCACACACTAATTCACACTGATTGTTCACACTTCACACTGATTGTATCATCATAGCATAATTCATCGTAGCGTAGAAGGGTGGCGGTGGTCGTTTGAATGTTCACATGGCGTTTAGAAGTTCTTACGAGGTCTTCCTTAGTTTGTTTTATTGTTTTTGGGGTAACCGAAATCCATGTCAAAGATAAATTATGTCCTGTTCTGCCTCAATATCGCGTTTATCAGGGGTCTTTGCACTTAGCCGTTTGGTTATCGCATGTTGAATAGGATACCAGTCACATGTGTTCAAAATTTCCTCAGGCACACAAGCATTCCCCTCAAAATTGTCTATTGATCCGACCTGAGCTTTTCGTGTGCATTGTGCCAATGATTATTGTTCTCGGGCAAATCCAATTACATTCCTGCTTCCGTCTTTCGCTCGAACCCCCCTGTATGACGAACTAATGAACGGTCAGTCACGTGCGTTTGCGGTCTCCCGGCACCCATTTCTGCCCTGAGGCGGTGTTCGATTTACACCAAACTTAACCCCGTGCATTTGTGGTGCTTCACACCTCGCGTCTGCCGACGCAGGTAATTGCTGGCCGGTCACCATGGCAACGTGAGGCGCCATGTTGGCAGCGGTGAGCCAATCAGAAGTGCCGACGGACAGCTGGCTGATCTAATGACTTTCGATCATGTGAAGCGTGGCCTGGGAGCGGGCTGATCGCACCGCCGCCGCCGCCGCCGCTGCCCGCACACATGGAACACCATGATGGCGTTTGATGTCATATGGCCGTCCCAGCCGTCTCTGAACGATTCTAGGGCGATTCGTGCCGGTTCTGTGACTGCGGCCGTGACTGAAATGGTAGACAGTATGACAATGGCCGGTTGGAGACCGATAATAATGATGATTGGACAAAGACGACGTTCGGATCGATTAAACATGACCGATTGGACACGGTGGGCCCACTGGGCTGGGTCGGTTGTGTATGGGTGCTGAGTAGCGATAACAGTGTCCTGTTCCTTGCTGCTGAAAGGCAGTATGAAACCTAAGACATACATTTTGTTTCTTAGGCTATGTTTTTCATTGAGGGTGAAAGAAGTGATTTGTGATTCTTTAGTTACACCTTTTTTCTAAATGAAGGTATGCTTTGACCAATGCCTATCGGCATTCGACAATAAGCCAGTATGTTTTTAACTAATATTTCTGGTAAAGTAATTTGCATACTTTGAGAAATTTAATTCTGGAGGCTTGCGTTAATTGATGGCACACAACGCTACGTTAAAAGGAACAAATAAAAAATGCATTGTTATACTGACACCCGCATAAAACCACAAATGATATTGGAACAATGGGCATTGGGCACTAATGGGTTTCCTCTAGGTCCCACGTTTTCTTTGCCGACATTGGATACTCCTGGTAGCAGTCTACCATTCCGCTGTTTCTTTTTTTGCATCCCTTCAATCTATCTTGCGGTCTGATAACCCAAGAATTTCGCCCTAAAATGATTCAGACTAAACCTACGCATTGGAGTATTATCGAAATGGTAAAAAGTAAGTCACTGCATTTTACTGCAGCGGGTGAAACTCGATAGTTCTTTTTTAGCATAATAACTTAATTCACCCATCACTTTTTCTATTTCTGATATAATTTACGGCCGATCTCGTTCGCCTGAATACGGTGTCTGACCTAGTTGTGGTCGCGTTTTTTCGCCATTAGCCCGTGCGGACGACGGGTTATGAGTCCTGGGCAAAATAACGATCATGTTCTGTCGAACAGAGTCGAATCCTTGATTTCGGACGGTAAAAAAGGGTGGGCATATTTCACTGGGGCTCATTGTGCGCCGCCGGTCCGCCAATAACGGTTATTGGGCGCGCGGGGATCGGTCCAGTCCGGCTGTTATGTGCTATTGCGGGGTGAACTTACGGTGTCAATCTGACACGCATGGTTTTTTCATGGCGCGGGGGACAGGCTCTGGTCAGAGGTTTGAGCCGGAGTTGGATAGGACTTGAAATTGGGAACGGGGAAACACTGATCAGATGCTGGGCTCGGCTTCGCTCAAAAGTCTGACGGGACACGCGTCAAAAGTAGCATAAGGCACGAATCAGAGTCAGCGTCTTATTTTGCCTCCGTTACGGCACAGGTCAATGATGTAGACGTACGTGACGCATCTATTGCATTTCTCGTCGTCTCTTTCAGCATAGAGAGCCCAGTGGTCCATAAGCAATAGTGATCCATCAAGTGGCGTTTCAAAAGCACATATCACGTCGATTGCGACAATTGCCGGTTGGAAATGTGACAATTCCAGTGACATAATTATCGCATCATGTCGTCCGTAACATAATTGATCGTTTGACGGCTGTGACGGCGCGTAACGGAATGCGACAGTTGAAACGTTACAGTATTACAGCGCGACGATCCTCCTGTGTGTGCGGTATGCGTTTGTATGTGATGTAATTAGGACATTTGTCAGATCTTGCATCATTTGATATTTGACGATTTGACGGGAGATGCTAATCTCAAAGAAAGGATGATTTTTGCCCTTTATTCTTTACGACGGGTGTAACGGAAAAGGTGAACATGAATCAGAATGTCACAAAATCGTCGTAGGGCTACCTGGCGCTATGCAGGCAATTAGAAGTTTCCATAGCTGTAAAATGAAACTAAGAATAACTCGGTGTGGGTCTTCACATCGATGCAGCTTTATTTTATACAACTGGCGCAACCTTTCTGCTTGCAAAGCTGAGCCGAAATGATTCCGCAAAGAGCCCCGCCGGATGCATCGCAAACATACGCCCACGGTGCATCGTGCTGGAATCTGCGGCGGAAGTCTGTGGTTTCCGGTCGCCGTCCGTCCGTTCTCCCCACGTCTCCCGTGGACGCTTTCCTCTGCGTGGGGTCTGAATCAGTCGTCACAAAATTGGGTAATTGGCATCACCTGGCCAATCAAACGTGACGATCGGAATTTCAGCGGTCGACGCCGCCTTCAATCGCCATCTGCCAGGCACTCCCCGCTTTGTGACCGATGGCGTCTCTCTCTCTCTCTCTCTCTCTCTCTCTCTCTCTCTCTCTCTCTCTCTCTCTCTCTCTCTCTCTCTCTCTCTCTCTCTCTCTCTCTCTCTCTCTCTCTCTCTCTCTCTCTCTCTCTCTCTCTCTCTCTCTCTCTCTCTCTCTCTCTCTCTCCCTCTCTCTCTCTCTCTCTCTTCCCTTTTCTCTCTCTTCTTTTTCGGATGTATCCGTCGTAAAACTGTATCTTATTTCTGGGGGATGCAAATAATTTGCGCCATTTCTGTTACCACGCCGTCTTTTTGCTCTCCGTCAATGAACCGTCACTCTAGTCTCCAGTTCGTCTATATTTCGTCTCCACTATGTCTCCACTTCACCTCCATCTCCAAGAGGCTCGAGCCGTCAATCAGGCGCCTCCCCGACCGCCCTCTGACCGTTTCCTGACCGGCGGCGACCGCACCTCTCCGTATCATTATCCACAATCGACGCCGATTGGTACGGATTCCTCTGCGCGTCGACGTTTCCTGCGCGACGGCGCGGCGCCAGCCGTCAGACGTCTCCGGTGCGCCAGGATTACCGCGAACCACAGCTGCGGCCATTGCGGCGGATGAGACACACGGCGCGGCCGCGGCGCCACCGGTCAAAACATTCATTACACATTGGATCGGTACGATTACCAGACCGAATGATACGATTCACCGGACGTTATGATCAGTGTCGCAGTGGCGCGCCATAATTTCGGCGCGCCAAATTGCCCGCCAAACAGCTCGCTTGCGATGCAACCGGACGGCTGTTTTTCCTCGTGTGTTGTATTTTGGGGCGCAGCGACCACCTGACTGTCCCGGGTTTGATCTGCGGTCGCGGTGGTGCGATCAGAGGTGTATGTGTAATTGCGGACGGCCGGATGTGTAATTGTGACTGTCCGTTTGTGTGTAATTGTGGGCCACAAGGGGGTGGCGCCGAGTGCCGGTGTCTTATTATCCTCGGCGGTGACACTTTCATCCTACCGCCGCTGACTCTGTGTCCGATACTTACATCTTTTCGGAAAATATATGTAGTGTGCCTCAATGGTTCTCACTAATTTATTGATGGCTGTTGTGGAATTTATTGTCACATGCCTGATGCCGCGTTCACACTTTATCGCTCGTGAAGTTCACTTTCAACTTTCAACCAAAGCATTTTCCAAAAATACACTGAAGTGAACCGATTGATTTGCCGATGTGAAACCCAACCACTGAACAGGGAAGACAAATGACACGAACCCCGCTTATCTGTGTCCACAGCAAGGTGCCGGCGTTTCTGAACGTCACCGACATTGCCGGTCTGGTGAAGGGTGCCAGCGAGGGTCAGGGCCTCGGCAACGCCTTCCTGTCGCACATCAAGGCTTGTGACGCTCTCTTCCACCTCTGTCGTGAGTACAGCTCGAGAGGGGAGGGGGCAGGAGGGGAGGATGTTATCAACGGCAAAAATTAGGTGATGTGAGTAGGTTCAGGGTGCTGTGAAAATGATCGGCACCGCTTTTATTACTTCATCGCTTCCCCTATTAATTTTTCTTAATTCAAACAAAGTGAACATTATATCGGGAAGTCGGCATCCGTTTGCCACTACAATTATGCTAGTCGCACACATATTGTACTTAAACATCTTGCTTTTTCAAAGCTATCTCTAGATGGAAATAGCTTCACTGTCAATGGGAGATGTATCACGGTGAACCAATGCCCAAACCGTTTCAACTTGTCACCCATCCATCACCTATCAAAATGTCACAATTGAGCGCTGAACCCCGATGTCAATAGCCGCGTCATTCATCACAATGTCACCACTGCTTGGATGCCGTGACCGGGCGGAGGTCGTAACTACATAGTTACCTCCGCCATGTCGCCTAGCCAGTATCGCACGCTGTCACTGGTCACTGTAGCCCTCTTAGTCGTGGGCCCAGTGTCTCGCTCCTTCTTGGTTTAGTTCAGCGCTGTCGCTGGCTAGTAACGCTTCCTGTCGCTGGCCCAGTGTCGCTCGCTGTAGCTAGTCTGCTGTCGCGCACTATGACTCGCTCTGACCGGTCCGTTTGAGGCGGTGATTGCGGGTGTCGGTACGGTAATGTCGGTGTCTCTGCGAGTCCACTGATGTTGGGCCCTCCCACACACCAAAGGACCGCTATTTGGGTGGGGGTGGGCGGCTGTGGGTGGAGACGCATTTGGATGAGGTGGTGGGCTGTGTTTATGCTGAGTGGTGAATAGAATGTGTGAGGGAAATAAGTATCCGACCTAACGAATAAATTGCAGTTTAATTTTGTCGAGAAGTTCGAAAAGGATATATCTGATAATTATTTTATCGGACCTTTTTCTGTTAAAAAAGAACGCACGCACATGTTTGCCTATTCCTGTCAACAGTAAAGCTCTTGACTACAATCCTAGCGATATTATCTTCATTTCCACTCATTCCATTTTCCAGTTCCACCAGTGCCGTGCGCATTGTCCCCTCCGATGCGAGCGTGCGCCCCGTGTCTCCTTTTATATCTCTGAATGGCGTCTTGACATTATGACGCATGCATGGAGTTCCGTTAATGTTCTCAATTTTTGTCACGAGAGAACTGAATAGTGGTTACCAACTTTTCCCTACTACAAACTGCCAACCTCTAATCCCCTTTATCCCCGCCGGGTCAAAACCATTTGATCGACACTTCTGGGGCGACATGTCCCCGTCCCCAAATTGATCCGAGAACCCTCCCAAACCTACCCTCCGGTTCTCTACCTTCCCGAGCCTGCAGCAACACAGTCATGGCCCGCCCGAACCGTCAGTGTAATATGCTGTTGTGACAAGGCGGCTTGATCAGAGGGTACCTCGCGCGACTGTGCGGCGCCGGGCACTGGACGGCTCCTCGCTTCAGGCAGAGTTATGACAGGTAGAGAGGGTCACTGGAGACTGGGTCACCGAGGGTGGGGGAGGGGGAGATATGGGGTCGTTAGAAATTGGGTCTGAGCTTGAATGATTGACTGGCGGGACATACGGATAGGGAAATGAACGGTGCGTGTCTTGAAGTGTAGGATGTCTGTTTCTTTACGTCAAGTGACATGCAACTACTCCGGAGCTGTATCGCTTTAGCTCCGGAGTATTACCACCGTGTCTGCGTCTTACCTATGCGTCAGGCCCGCGTCAAGTCTATTGCTGTCATATTCAAAGAATCTTCTGTGGTCGGATAATGAACTCATTTTTCTTCAACTAACTTCCCAAGTTAGTCTTTTGACATCACGTCCATCGCTGCACGGCGGAGTCCAAAGCGTTTCGGCACCGTCTATCAAACAGTCGCGTACAAATGGGACCGGCCCATCTCATCCCTCGGCCCCCAACTCGCCCGTCCTCATCCTCGGCCAGCCGCGGAGGGTTGATTAGCTCGAATTTCCCCCAAACCTCTCCCTCCATCGGCCGTCTGATGTGGGTGCAGTGGACAGCATCCACACGCCGCACCGCTTTGATTTTCGGCGTCCGAGCTGCCCCAGACGGAGGGATGGTCGGCCGCCGACAAAAAAGACCGGCTGGTGATGATGTTTGCTTTGTATGTCGGTGGACAGCGGATAGTGGGATGGTGGCTGTGACAGCGCCGATGATCGGAGAGAGGGCTGGAAGACGAGCTGGGCGGAGCTCGATAATGGAGATGTCCGAACGAGAGAGAGAGGGAAGGAAGGGGCAGTGGCGGGGAGGTTCAACGTTTTGTGGTGACTGGTTGAATTAGTTGTTCGGACGATGGAGGGTGATATCAGGGACCAAGCAACTCTCATAGGACGGGGATGTGGTCGTGTATCTTAATTTCAGTTTTGCTTAAATGTACCGAAATTAGACAAACTTCCCTCGTCTGATAGCTGAAATGCGTCCATTTACCGTATTCCCGCACTGTTTGCTGTCGATTCAAAGGTCACAGCCACGTCTCTTGGTCTGAATCAGAACCTCTCGTCTGGTGCAAAACGCTCATATGCATACAATCAAGCATTCTGAAAAGCGCCGCGTCTGGAAACCCCCGGATACTGATCGTGTGTGCGTGCCTCGGGCGGTGACCTCCCGGCTCCCATGAGTCATCGTGACATTAAATGACCCCTGCTGTGATGACGCACATCTATTCGTTTCCTCCAACCGTCTGTTTGCACCCCTTGGGCTTCAAAGTTTCCTCAATTTCGTAACCGCGCGGTTCGACTTTGAAGCGGCCGCCCCCCCCCCCCTCGCCACCCCTACCCCGCCCCCACTGACCTGTGTTCTGTCTGTCTGCGCTCACCCCCCCCCCCCCCCGTGGAGCCAATTTTGTCATTTGGGTGTCAATCACATCTGAAGGCCGACATCAAAGGGCGCCGCCGAGTCGCGTGCCGCTGTCATGGTTGACCCCGGCCCCGCACCTCCGGTCTGATTTCCTCTGGGGGGGGGGGGGGGCTGATCGGACGGCCGGGGTCGTCATGGGGGAAGGGGTGTAAAAGGGGGTATAGGGTTTGTGGTAAGGAGGCCGGTAGATAGTGGCTCCATGGATTGAAGGCTATTGTCGGATGTGGTGGCATCGGCATATGGTGATTCATGAAGCTTCGGGTGAAACAGGAGTATGTGTGTGGTGAATTCTAGCTTATGGTATCAAGAGGCTAGTTTTGACGAGGTCATGTTTCTAGAAGTGAATCAGTTCATCGTAGCGTAAATTATAGCTATAGCGTGACGTGATGCTGATTCACTTTTAATCACTCGGCACAGTGCTCTTATATTAAAGGTCTCCTTCACTCTTTGTAGTTTTTTTCTGGATACCTACGTATCGGGTAAATCGTTAGTCATTTTCTCTGGCCCCATTAGGTCTAATGAATGGCCAATCACAATGCAGTTTTGACGCCCTAAAACCAAAGTCTCAAAACCACGATTGACATCCTTCTCACCCTTTTCGAGTCGTTGCTAGTATTTATTTTATCGTAAAAGCTTGCAGATGCTCCAGTGGTCCAGATTTGGTGATCATTTGAACTATTTATATGCACTGTGATTTGATCTTACTTTGGTCCTATCGATAGCGATCTCGGTCCATAGCTCACGGACTTAAAAGATATGATTAACATGATCTTTTGTTGCTAAAATTTCAGTGACGACTGGTGAACTATGTTCGCCACAATCAGACCGTGCTCTCTGTCAGTGTGTTGATGACCCCTGTTCCCCGGTCAGCTGTGTGAGTTTGGCGGCCATTTGCCGTCACGTCCAGATCTGTTTATTAATGACTGTCGGCCGCTGACGCGCGTTTTTGCACGCCGATCGGCCGGCGCTGTCGGCAGCTGTGGTCAGCGATGATTGGCTACCGAGGTGGCACACGATTGATGAACTCAGGGGTGGGGGAGGGGGCAGAACAGGTGACGGATTCCCTGGCTACCGCTGCTCGCTGATGGGGTGCAAATGACCTCCACCGAGCGACCCCGGTGAGAATTGAGTTGTCATGCCGCGGCGCGTTAACGATGCACGCCCGTGTTGGGGTGTCGGAGGGTGTTTCCTCGCTGTTGACACGAAGTGGGGCGGGCGGCGCGGCGGGTGGGGCGCAGTGGAGCGGCGCCGGTCCCGCCCCCGGGCCCGACTCCGCCCACTGCGTGCGCCCCCCCCCCCACCCCCTCCCTCCTCGGCGTGACGGACGGATTGGCGCCTCGCGTGTCGACGCATCGACCGTCGTTCCCGACGCTGTGATGGCGGCTTTGTTTGTGACTGCGAGTGGCTCGCACGCTGTGCTAAGGGAGGAGGAAGGGACGGGCTGTTAGCATACTCCTCATGTCATGTCGGTGGGTGGCAGCGTTTCTCGAAACGGCGGCTCTTGACCTTTCGAGTTCAGAGCGCGTGCCGACATTGCGACCTCGGAATACTCGCCGTTTTTTACCGCACATCGGTCTCCGACATCTATTCAGACTGTTTTACAGGAAAAAAAGCGCCGCCCGGCTGCCGAATACATTAAATGCCTGGCGATTCATAATTCAGCCCAGCCGCGGCCGCTGTCTCGCTATTCAATCCTAGCCGCCGCATTCTGGTCATAAGAACAACGGTGTAATATGCTTAATTATAGAGTGCGACCGATAAATTAACTTGGTCGGGCGCCGCCAAAGGGCGGGCCGGGGCCGGCCGGCGGTGTCGGTAATTGATGGCGGCGATCCGGGGCCGCGCGGCGGCACAGCTCAGTAATACACGGTCCGTCACTATGTTGTATTTACATGTGGAGGGTGTGCACAGGGCTGCGTACTGTCACCGGTTCTGTTTGTGGCGGGGGTTAGGTGCCGCCCGAGACTGAGATGGCGTTGTTCTCCCCGGGTCGTCGGGATTGTGTTGTTTTTTATGGTGGTGGGCACTGGTGCGAGGCCGGGGTATTTGTTTTGGCTGATAGGGTAGCGGTTGGGAATCCGTTCAACCGGTTAAAAATAGTCCGGGAAATTAATCTTCCCACAGCCCTATACTTGTAATTGCCTTTGATGCTATCGCTTCACGCTTTGGAAAGTGGGAAATTGGGTGCCCATTTCAACAGGTGGTTTTATGGGTTTGTATATTACTCCCCAATGTTCCCGAATCATTTGTAACTGGATAACAATAAATTCAAGCCATCATTGTGTTAAGGTGGCCTTTCATTGCCTGTTTCCCTCATGCGTTTTGTGCGGGGCGCACCGCTTAATTGAACATCTTTTGTGCCACTGCCCACTGGGGTGGTTTACGATTCATTGAGCCACCTTCGTCGGAGGTTCAGTGAAGTTGCCGACAGGTCCTAGGATGTCGGCTGGTGGAAAGTAGGCGAGCGTGGTAACTGAATATATAATGCCGCTGGGTGGCTGGTGATTAGGGCAAGCTAAATTAGCAGTGTGGCTGATGGTGAACCGATCGGCGATATATTTGTTTGGTTTCAGTAAGGAAATATTTTAACATAAACACACAATCTTACAGACGAAATTCGTGCGCATTTTGAATAGCATTTGATTTGCTCTGTGAAGTACCTAACATAAAAGCAATCAGTGCAAGAGGGTTAGCTTTCAAAACAGGATTTAGCCCATGTATATCTCTCTAACACACTGCTGGCCTAACAATGCGATCATACGTACATACGTAATGCCTTCTAAAAGACAATTAGCTGGCGAACCTAGCATCCTATCACCAAGCCATCAATCCACCCACCTGTATGTTACCTCCCCATCCCCGCTCGCGCAGGTGCATTCGACGACGACGACGTCACTCACGTGGAAGGCGAGGTGAACCCGGTCCGTGACCTGGACATCATCAACGAGGAGCTGCGGCTGAAGGACGAGTCCTACCTGCTTCCCTACATCGAGAAGTTCGAGAAGACCACACTGCGGTCCGACAAAAAGGCCAAGCCCGAATATGTGAGTTCAGGGATGTGGTGTGGAGCGTGGGTGGATTGCTTGGGTTTTTCATCGTTTAACACGCATTTGCTGCAGTCTTTTGGACTCTTTTTTTTTACATGAATCATTTGTGGATTGCCGGTTAAATTACGATGTTTCGTGTTTGCTAGGTGAGTGGTTTGGGGCATGCAGCGGTACAGAATAAGTGTTTCATTTGGTTATGTTTTCATTTTGCCTTCTGTTGAGCTCTTTCATCTGGAACGCTGTGTACACTTTCACTTGGTGACTCAGCATTGCAGACAGTAATAACGTTTTCGAAAGGTGAGTAGGTATTATTGCGCAATTGCAGACTGAAAGGACCGGAAGCAAGCCTAAGAAATAGGCCGCCCAATAATCGAACCCCTAACCACTACATTCATTCACGAACGATTGCATGTTTTGTTCGGCAGGATATCCTTCTCAAGATCAAGTCGGTGTTGTGTGACGAGAAGAAGCACCTCCGATTCCAGGACTGGAACGCCCATGAGGTGAGTCACATGCCACTCACACGGCACTCAAACGCTTTTCACACGATGCGAGAGACATGATCGTGGCAATATCGCCTTCCGGAGATCGTTGTGCTTGTGCAGGGTCGCGTTTTTTCTTTGATGCTTTGAATCGTTATACCGTGGAACTTGGGTGTAAAGTTGCATTGTTTTGTGTATACCTAGAAACCGCTATTTCATCAGTATGGGATAGCATGGTTTGCCTTCAATCTATGGCACTGTTCTGAACATAAATTTGTCGTTTCTTGACTTCATTGCTCGCTAACATTTCACGATCGCTCCTCTGGCAGATCGAGGTTCTGAACAAGCACCTGTTCCTCACCACCAAACCGGTTATCTACCTGGTCAACCTCTCGGAGAAGGACTTCATACGGAAGAAGAACAAATGGTGAGTCCTCTCTCTCGGACGGCCCCCGGTGCTGTAATCAGACCATCGGCCTGTCCCCGTCGCTGTAATACCTCCGGAGCACTGGTTCTCTCGCCGCCGAGCCGCTCCCGTGCGGCGGCCGACCTCGCCGCCCCGTCGCCAGGTGTCGCCGGGCTCCGGAGGGTCGCGATTTGTGACCGCCCGACCTAGAGACGGCCGTCCGACTCCGGTCGGGCCCGTCCGACGCGGAAGGGTTGACCCCCCGTCGGCCTGTGTAATGTGGTAGCTGTGCCGAGCGGTCCGCGCTATTAATCCCGCGCGGGGACTCGGCTGTGCGCGCACGCCGCGGGATGCCAATTTCTCCCGGTCGGAGGGTATCGCAGGGGACTGTACTGGGTCCTCTGCTGTTCGTCGTGGCCCGGTTTTGGGCGGCGGCGGTGAGGGCACCTGTTTGTGGGATCTGGGCCACCGCTGGAGACGTGTGAAGGGTCGTTTGTTTGCTAACCCGACCGATCATGTGGGATAATAGGCTGGCTGACAGGCTGCGGGACAACGGACGGTGTATGGTGTTTTGTAGGCTTTAAACTGCCATTGTTATTGTTCACTGTAATAATTTTCGTTTTGACATGTGATACGAAGACAGTTTCTTTGATTGATGAAGGTCACGCTGTGGATGGGTTGTTGCGACAGGTTGATTGTAATGCCATTGTCACCGCTTATTAGCTCTCTGAATAAGCTGACAAGTTATATCAGAGAAGATAATTTTGTCAATCCTTATCAAATTTGGTTTATAACCAAACCGTGTTACTGCATCAACTCACGATTCGTTCAACATATACATACATCTTGTCCGCATCCGAAAGACGCTAAACATAAAAAACTATTCAATATCCCACCAATGCGTAAACGACTTGGACTATTTTTTAGCTTTGTTGACACGACACTTAAGTGTCCGCACATTTGACCCGGGAGCCTGGCCAGTGGCGGCGGCGGCGAACTTCAGTTGTCAGCGGCCCGTCTGATTTCTGCCCTCGCCGTCCGGCCGCTGCCGACTCATGCAGCGGGAGCCCCGCCGCGCCGCGGTCCCTGATCCAATCGTGGCGCACTCGCTGGCAATTACGGCGCACTGCGGCCGCGGCGGCGAGATGTGGCGCCGATACGCGCGCCGGTCTCCTTTGTGGCGCGCCGCCGTGCGTCAGAGGTGCCGCAGCAGACTGGTTAACGCCGCTGTCAGCAGAACGACTCGATTGTGTTTGATTATGGCGACTGAGGGGTTTCCATTTGGAGCAGAGATGATTGGGCTGATGTTTAATTGGCTAAAGATTTGTCAGAACTGTGATGCTTGGAATTCCCCGCTTTTGGAGTAAGCTGTGCGATATGAAGCTGTTCATATCGCACGTCCGTCGAAGTAGGATTCGTGCACGTTATAAAACCACCTTACCACCTCGTGATTCATGCACGTGATTCTTCACGCCGCTCTGGACTGGTGCCGTCAATCACAGCCGGCCGATGTGTCGCCATACCTCACATCCTGGGGTAGACACGCATCTGCGCGATGGGAGGGAGGAGGGGGAGGCAGGTGCGTACCACCGGTCCAGCTGGCTCGCGTGTCGGCAGAGGACGGGACACCGTCGTGCGTCCGCTGTACCAGCTGGTGTCAGATCGGGCGTAAATATAGAGGAAGGGAAATTCGACCTTGATGTCCCTCCCCTGCGCTGTTTTCGGCTTCCTGGCTGTTTTTATTTTCGGGTTCGGCCTGTAGGCGCTCCTTCACATCTTTTGTAATAACTGCTGTCAGTGTCATGATTACTTCCCACATAGTCCGTCATTTCAAAAAGCCCCGGCGGTCGACTATGTCGTATTTGTGGCACTTTCATCGGTTAATTAATTTATTTCGCCACCACCGCCGCCATTGCAAATGCATCCGGTACTATCGCAACTATCGCCCTCAGCTTCCCTTCCACGTCCATCGCCATATCGCTCTACGCCCATCGCCCACCCTACCACAGATCCCACCTCCACATTCACGATAACTCCATAATCAGCATTTCATTAGACCAGTGGAACTGCGCGCGCCGTAATGACACAGATACCCCAATGACGTCACACAGCAGGTCAGAGGTCATGTCACGGCTGACGGGCTAAGTGTCCGACGGCGACCGCCCGGCGCCGTCCGGGGAGGGGCGTCTAACGCGGGGCTCGGGTCAGCCGGTCATCGGTGTGGACTGTGGGGTTGACGGAGGGTCGTGGAAGAGTGCGTGGTGGTGTGGCGGCGAGATGGAGCGTCCCTTGTTTCGGAGGGTATCAGCGGTCTTCTAATCTAAGGGAATCCAGAGTGCGGTGGCTTCAACCCGCTTACTGAAAACTCGCCAAAATATGTAGCATACAGTCGTAACGTCGTTTATCGTGAAACGGTTGGAACCGAGCATAACAATCTGACACAAATGACAACTGGAGTCTCCGTTTAACCCACGTCTTCCACCGACGGTCTCGAGAGTCTTTACAGGCGCCAAGTCTCGGGCGCCGGGGCCGTGTTCGTTTTTGTCGGTGTTGTTTGCTGCGATAATGACGGGTCGTATTGCGGAGGGCGGCGGAACAGGACGGACGCCCCGGTACCGCACGGAAGGACCTCCTGTCTGCCGCGGGCGGCATGAAATCCGTCGAGAGCGTCACAGATCAGTGCAGTCGGATATCCAGTTAAAGCTAGCGATTTGGGATGTTTTTATTAGGGTAATGTGTTATTGAGCGGCATTGTGTGAAGGCGTTTGTTTGTTGTGATGGCTATGTGCCGATGTGGTCTGTCGTCAAGTTTTTTATTTCGGTGAATGAGAAAATTGAGTGACCGAGGTTATTTGTTGAATTGAAATGTTTCCGTGAATTGGCACTAATTGCAGTGGACGCCATTCGTAGCTCACAATTCACATACCGATACATTCCCATACAACTCCACTGTCATTTTCCTGATAGGTTTCTATGGGTTCATTTCCGACAGGTAGCCTTCTATTGTCAACACTGAAGGACAGGGCATTACAGCTAGCTATTACCTCGATACTCTTACTGTGTGGCTGAGAGCTAGCCTTTATGTTCGCATGACTGATAACGGCCTCGGGCGTACTCCGGTCACCCCTATCGACCATGTCGACCGTTCCTAGCCTCTTACGACCCTGTCTGACATACTGGACCGCCGTTGACCAACTTCGAGACAGCTGCTAATCAATGTCGATTACCGCCTTCTTAGTTATTGGGATTTTGGGGTGCGCCGACTGCAATGGTCATTTTGTCCCCATCTACTGATCTAATCTGATCTTATCTGACCTGCGTTGACCTCCGTTGACCGTTACTGACCTCCGTTGACCGCCGGCTGCCCCCTTCCCGTCAGGCTGGTGAAGATCAAGGAGGCGGTGGAAAAGAGCGACCCAGGCGCGCTCATCGTCCCCTTCTCTGCCGCCTTCGAGCTCCAGGTGGTTGACATGTCCAAAGAGGAGAAGAAGGCCTACGAGGAGGAGCACAAGGCCACCAGGTCAGTCGGCTCGCCTCGGGGCAATGAGCTCGGGGCCGGGCTAGTGGGATCGAGACTCTGAGGGCGGGTCGCTGAGGTCGACTAGTTAGCTGGGCGACGCTATGCATCACTTGGGCCTTGTCACTTGTCAGTGTGTCACTGAAAACTTGCATCTGAAAGTTTGTTGTTGTCTCTATTGGGAAAAAACACTTCTCGCTTGCTTGCTTATCTTGCTAATCTTGCTTGCTTATTGCCAAGTGATAGCGATTGCGTTTAAGCTTATTTGAAGAAGTGTATAATTCACTACCAATCTGTCTGGGATTGCCCGCGCTGTGTTCTTCCTATTCTCGGAGTTATTCAGTCAAATTCCGCAGCAATATCTTTATCTTTTTTGCGACACTTAAAATCCCACCTGTTTATACATCTCGACCTAGAGAACCCGTGAGAACTTTTCGGCGACGGACTTTCTCAGTGGGCAGTTCATTAGTTCACCTTTATACGGGTTCCGCTGAAGAATGGGCGGGATTGTGAGAGCCGCGGAACACGGTCCGACTCAAAGGCCTGCAGTCATCGTAAATATCGTCCGTCGATTCGCCGCCTCACTCCTCTCCCTGCTCTCCCGACTCTGTCGATCATATTTCTCCGAACCGGGTAGATTTTTTTCTGGGTCGCCCACCACTCCCGCTGTGCATTGGGTACTATACGGGGCTCATTTTTTCGGTCCGATTTTCGTTTTGCGCGCGCGCCGCGGCCCCCCGTGTCGACCGAATGTCGTCGCGAGTGGTGGCCGCATTGACAGACGGCCGCCGGCCGGCAGAGTGGGTCCGTGCAGCCTTGGACACAGCGCCGACACGGCGTACCGCTGTGCCGACAAAGCGGCCCGTCGCCGCGGCCGCCTTTACCCGGCCGAGCCGCGCCGATCGGCGGTATTTATGGCCACCGAAAATGTCGCCGAATCATGAGAACGGGCCGCCGCCGGGCGCGGTACAGATGTGACCGGTGCCGCCGCTGCGAGTAATCCTTTGGGCACGGCGGGGCGCGGTCGCATGGGACTGACGACGACGGTCGTCTCGGCTGAACCCGGCCGGCGCGGTCGGAGGGTAGGAGACGGACCTGGGAGGTAGACTGTGCCGCAAGACGCGCTGGTGGTCGTATGTTGTGCGGTGTTGAAGTCACCGGCGCTGGCGCGGCCGCAAATGTGCGTAGCGGGCAAAGCCAGGTGTAAACTGTTACAAATTTGTTTTTCGATGTTGTCCAGTCACATCTTGGACTGATTTTGAGTGGAGAATGCATACCGGCCTAATGTGACTATTTCAAACGCCCCTTTACACTCTGCTGCCCCAAGCAGCAGCTGTGCCGGCCGATTCTTCGGCCAGTTCTCTGGCCGGTTGCCGGCGCAGGATATCGGCTGTCGATGTCGATTGTGACAGTATGTCGAACCGATACCAGCCAGGGCGTGGCTCCCCTCGGTGGTCTAATGAAGCAAATCCTAGGGGAGGGATATAATGAGACTGTGTCACCGTGTGGTAATTAACAGCGTCCCTTGACATTCTGCCGAGCGGAGGTATGTCGCCAGGGTCGGGCGACGCTCTTTTGACCGGCCTTCGACTACTGGGTGGAGTTGGGAGGGGAGGGGAGAACGGTAGTGACCAGGCGTGGCGGTACCGGTGTGGAGGTGCTGTGTGCGGGGACGGAGGTCGTTTGTCGCGCCTCCGTTAGATAAATGGACGGGGTTTTGTTGTTTGGTGTAGGGTGGGACTGGGGAGGAACATGGGTTGTTGACGGACAAAGAATGGGCGGGACCAGTTTGGAAGAACTGATTTGTCTTGGGGGTGTCAGAATGAATAGCAGGCCCAGTGTTTTAGGATCTAGTTGAGGTAGCCGAAACAGTGTCATGCGATCATTTGTCAGAAATTTTATTTAGTAAATTGATAAACGATAATAAATTCATCAAATATATGTGTCACCTTCTTTTCCAATGTCACCAGTAACCCGTCCCATGTGGCCTCTGGTTATTATCGTATTATGTGTGACTCACGGTTTCGACGCCGGCAGTCGGGTGTAGTGCCCCAGTCTGGTGTCTGCGGGTGGGTCGGTACTTACGGCGACTGTTGACGCGTGGAATGTGATACTTATATGCGCTTACTTGATATTATTTCATTAGAAATGATTTAAATGAGAATATTACCCACCATGTGCAACTCTCAATAAACAAGCCAGTCACATCATGCTTTTGAACTTGTATAGGTCTTTACTCTTTACATTTTCTAATTTCCTTGAAGCCTTGTTGTGGCATACGAACTGAAGGTATTCACATGTAGCGATAGGAGAAGATATCTTTTATTTTGTTTCTCTGAGCCCCTTAATCGACACCTAAAGTTTATTCCCACGCATCAGCTCTCGCTAACTTGGACTTACTTTCGCGGCCCATATACGGTTTCTCCACATCATTAGCGGGTATTTCAGCGGCGCTGTCATTTATTTTCGGAGATGTCACTTCCTCACTGGCCCTCCGGTGGCGCCTCTGTGCGTTCCGTTATTTAGTACCGCTCCCCGGGTGCTTCGTTTGACCCACTTGCTCAGGTCATTTGTTACAGTGCCACCGATAAAGTATGGTATCGGCTATAGTTCGACGCATCTGTGCCGTTCTAAGACAAATCGCCGTGGTTCAATAGTTTTTTGAAACCCACTGAGCTGATTCGGGGACTCGGGTGGTTGTGCGAAAAATCGAGATGCAGTCCGGCTTGTCGCTAGTTTTAGTATCTGAGTTGGGACTGAGGGGATGCCTGGACAGTGGACACTGTCTATCTCCCCTCCCCTATTCTCCTTTCCCATCGTTCTGTGACAGCTGGTCTCTGTTTTGTCATCTTTAATAAGTAACCCCGCCGGCAGTATGGCGGGCGGGGCGGGGCAGGGCGGACCCTCCCCGCGTCCCGGCCGGGACGCACGTGCCACCACAGGGTGTTTATTAGCGCGTGGACGCTGCTCTGGTCGTGACTGATTCATGGCGTCAATTGGTGGGCAGGGTGACGTTTCGGGCGGTGGGCTGGCTGCTGGTCGTTATTTATTTGTGTGATGAATGTTTGCTAATTTGGCGGCCCCGTGATTTTTCGTTATGGTTCGGAGGAACCTGGATTCGCTCATGCCTCTTGTCTTTTTGTTTGTCTCACAGCTTCACGTTATTTCCAAAGCATGTCTGATATTTTCGTTGCAGTTTCCTGTAGGTACTTAATTTAAATGCAACAGCACGTTGTTCACTCTTATTCCCTGCAGAAGGCCTTTTTCTCTGTCTCAGTGTTATGGTTTAGTTTCCCATCGTTGCCGCTGTAATGGAAAGTTGTGTAGCAGCAGGTATCTGTGTTTCAGTGTCGCCTCGGAACTTCATTGAATGACTGCGTCATGTTTGAAGCCGTCGCCAAAAACTGTCCATGCATCTTGTCTGACAGTTCGGCTGCCAGCTGTCTGGTTCCCTCATCAATCGTAATGTCTTTATCATGCCTTCTGCAACGTGCATTGTGCAATGTGCATCGTTCTCTGGGCGTCATGCGAAGTACCTACTTGGCCTAACTGCTTGGCGTGGCTCAACTGTAGTTACGGAACAATCACCAGCAGTTTGTCTGACTACAGCCATCATGCGATGATTGTTGCCTGTTGGTATACTTCTTGATGGAACGGGCCTGAATTATCATAAGATGATGCACCTTGTGGGCAGCACGACTGGACAGAAATAATGGAGGGCCATGTCTCAACATAAGCACACGATAATCTATGGGCGGCGGCTACCAGCCGACGTAAAGGCAAGGGACTTATCCTGTAAACACTGTTCAGCTGGTTCTTGTTGTCAGTGTTATATTATTTTCCTAGTAAACGAAGTTATAGCTGAACTCACTCGTCGCATACCTGCGGCCTGCCTATCGTCCGTGTGTCAAGTTATTGTCCCATTCCTTATGTGTCTACCTGTACGTCTGCCGCTGTTCGTCTGCCGACTCTTCTTTCTGCCTGTCGCCGGTCAATTTTGCGTCCTATCCCCCCCCCCACCCCCACCCACACGCACCCCTCCCCCACCCGCTCCATCCTGTTGATATCACTCTCCGAATACCGGCGGGGCGGGGGCGGGGTGGGGTGGGGTGGCAGTCCGCCCTCCAATGGCCGCCCATTCCAGTCGCCGCTGCCGCCGCCGCCGCCGCCGGGCGGGCCAGTATGGCGGCGCCGCTATTAATGCGCTATCAAGGGCCGATTACCGACCACAAACGAACAAAATGGCGGCGGCAGAGCGCGGCGAGGCCCCGAGAGAGCGTTTGGACTGTGGAGAGGGGCAGAGTGGGGTCAGGGAAGAAAGAGAGGTTGGCTAAGGTTGACACTGTGCGCCAGGATTGATACGGTGCGTTATGGTAGACACGATGCGCCAGGGTTACCACGGTGCGCTAGGGTTGACAGCTGACACAGTATGCCATGGTTGACACGCTGTGCCAGGGTTGCCGCGGTGCGCCCGGAATAACATGGTACGCCAGGGTTGACACGGTGCTTTAAGATTGACACTGTATGCTATGACAAACATGATGCGCCAGGACTGACACGCTGCGCCAGGGCTGCCTCATGGCGCCAGTCTTGCCGCGGTGAACCGGTGGTGCAAATGGCCCTGTTGAGTTGATGACTGCGTCTGGTGCCGGGACCGGGGGCTGGTGTGAGCAAGCTAACGGGGTGCGCTTACGAGGTGCCATTACGCCCTGATGGGTGAGAGTGGCGCCACTCAATGTGAGCACGTTTGTATCTGTCCGGTTAAAGAGTAACCGGCTCTTTTTTAGGCAGCGCCGGTTATGGTCTGTCGGTGGAATGAATGTGAGGGATTTCTGAAATAAGGGTGTATGGAAGCGGACTGTCACTGTGCGCGGTGTAAGCAATAGTGATGACTCTTTTCGGGGTAAGGCGATAGCCGGCTGACTTTCGAAGAACTGATCAGCGGTGGGTCCGTGGCCATATGCACATGAAATGTAGGTGACTATCGTGTGGCTCAGTTTGGTCATTATTCTAAGGTGCCGTTCGCGCGTGATTGCTCAAAATCGCTACGCCTTGGTGCGGTGAAAGGTTGCATCGAAAGCACTTCGAGAAAGTATGAAGTTTTTCATTGATGGAGGCTCAGATGTATTACTGAAACACTCAGGAAGGTCGGTCAGCCGGCATTAGTTTTGATAGGCTACGAACTGAACTAGGTACAGATTGCAGATACGAGTAGGTATGTGAAACTTCTACGAAATAAGGTTTGAGTCGGTAGTGCTTAGATCTGGTCGTCGTTTGTTTGCTTGTTTGCTTGCCGATACAGTGACGATGAACAAAGACTTAAGAATAGACATAAGGTAAAAAAGGACCTAAGGTTCAGTCCAAGTCGGCGATTAAGCCCGCAGCTCACAGGTGTTACACCATTTGGGACATGCCACGGTTGCATTTTCGGGCGGATTGAATTAAAGTTTATCGAACTCCATTATTTTCTGAATCCTGAATTGTAAACTATCCTACACTCAGCCCAGCGTCGCTTCGCACTGGTGTTTAATTGTCTCACAAACGTCAGCCGGCATCGATTCAGGCATGAAGCAAATGGGAATGCTGAATGCAGTTCGCAGATGGGTGACGTTTCTCAGCGCAATCACTGAATCAGTGGTGCTCAATAACTGTGACTTATGTCGCTGTCGAGCTGGGTGGCAGGGTACATTGGTAGAAGCATGGGAGTTGATGTTTGCAGGTCACTATTTCAAAGTTTTGTCTTAGTATGGATAGATGCTTGACGAAATTGCTCGTCTGTATCAAAATCTGACGATATCAGTGACTGGAATCTTCTTGTAATGTCAACTTATCTGACTGAAGCGCAGTGAATGTCAAAGCGGTCTGAAGCCTCGCCGCTCTCCGGCTATCGAAGGCCCCCCCCCCCCTCCGCTGCCATCACCGGCCCTGTCGCCGCCAGCGCGACCCACCGCCTTCCAAGACAAATGACACAAAACCATCCGCCCGATTAATCATATGCCCGGGTAATGACAAAATTGGTGTCCTGCGCGGTCTGTGTCCGGCCCACTGGCGATCCCGGGGCGCCGGCGGGGCTGGGCCCTCTTCGGTCGAGTTCCACAGTCCAAAGTCCACAGTGTGTGTGTCTGTGTGTCTGTGTGGGGCTGTGGCTGTGTCTCTGGGCGCCGCTCCCCTGTGTCTCTGGGCGCCGCTCCCAGTCCATTACCGGGCCGCCGCCATTGAAGCCGCCGCCAATTACGCCCTTCGCTCAATCATCGTCATTGCGACTGGGAAAGAATGTCATTTGGCCGGCCGGCTTCGATTCGGCGCACCGGCAAATCGTCGGAAATGATAGCGTCGTTGTGGCCGTATGTATCATTATCAGAGCCATGAGATCGAAAACAAAATTGGCCGCCGGGCGGGCTGGCGCCGCGCGCCGCCGCCGCCGACACGAGAAAAAGCGCGCGCCGGCCGGCCGGTGGCGCGCGCGCGGTCCGGGGAGGCGGGCGCGCGCTTTTTTGGGTGCGTGTTATCGCCGCGGTCAGCATGCAATGGCGGTGGTTTATCGATGCGGCGGGATGCGCCGGCGTGGTTCCGGCGAGGTTTGAAGGACGGAGGGGCGCCTGGTGCGTTACAGGGCGGTGTGGGGCGGTGTAGGGGTGGTGTGGGGCGGAGGAGGGTGGTCCCCAGCTGGAGGGACGTGCGGTGACAGCGATGGTGACAGATCGGTCCTCGTTCCCCTGTCATAAGGTCCGAAACCACACCGCCCTGGACGGATATGCGTGATGGATGGGAGCTGTATCGGTGTTCTGCATCGCGAAACGGAAAAACGGGCCGTTTGCATACGTATTTATTCGAATAACTAGCGAATGTAATGCCAATTTGATGTAACGAAGGCTGAATATAATGTTGGTGCAATGGGCGCTAGCTGTTCGAGTTGTCAGGTTGCAATAACTCCGGCCTTTTCAAGTCACCTGACAATTGACTTGGGTAACCAGTTAACACCTAGAAGTGCACTGGCAGAGCAAGGCACCGATGAGAAGGCCGGCGGTGTGCTGTCCTTTTTGCCACTCAACCTTAGAGCACTCAGAAAGCATTTTATTTAAACCAGCGGTCCATTTTATAAAGATGGTAACATTTTACATCAGGGTGTATTTTACGCCCCAAGAAACCACACCCTCCTAGAATTGGGCGGTTTTATTAAGAACCGAGGGTCTAATATGCGCCAATTGTATACTTTTGTTTGTTTTGGGTTGTATTTTACTATATCCACTACTTAAATCATAGTTAATAACATCATATGGTTATATCCGCAATCGCTTTATGAAACCGCTCGGGCGTAAAATGCAGCAGAATAGGTGGAAAACTGCGTCAGTCGCATTTTACGCCCTTTTATGAAATCGGCAGCAGGTGGTGATGGCGCTAATTGCTGGCGGAAATCAAGGCTTTATTCTTTCGCATGTAAAATGCCTCCTATTTAGACATCCACAAAGGATGTTCATCGTTCCGCCGACCGCCAGTCCCGTAGGCCGTACCCAAAACATACATCGTTTGCATGACACATCCCGCTATCCTGCGGTTCGTACAGCGGCTCGGTAACCTCAACAACGTACCCTCATTCACTGACTCAGTTGAAACGTGCTTATACTGTTGGTTGTATCAGCATAGCGGCGCGGCTTCCTGTCTAACTGTTCGTTTTTTGGGAATGTTTCTTTGTGTTTATGAGTAAGTGAATCTGTAAATATAGATCAGATCGAAGCCGAATAATTGCAGTTAATACTAATGATTTATTCTTGATTACCTAATTATTTAGGTTTTCTATCTCATATTTTTTCGTAAAGCCGTCCCAAATGTTTCATTGTCTCCTCAAATGGATAATACGGACATTCCGAAATTAGCAATGTCTGTGCTCCACATAAACAGGATAACACGGGAACAATCAGTGCATGATATGACAGTACTTCGGTTTGACCCATTGATCATTTGAATTTGTAGGCTAAAAACGTTGTGAATTTGTGCCACTTTCCATAAAGCCTGTCCCGTAGCTCAGTTGGTAGAGCATTGGACTCCCGGTAGTGAGAGCCCGGGTTCGAGACGCTCCGGCGCTCGATATTTGAGACTCCTGACGGGGATGGTCTGTGGTTGGTGGGAGCAGGCGCAGCCAGTTGAAGTCAGTTGTGTGGGACAGGTCGTGTCCGGCTTTGAAGGGCACGTCAAACTTTGACATCTAAATTCTCCCGTTACCCGGAATTGCGCGATCGGACGGTAGGGGTCGGGGTCTACGCAACATGCTCTGCTTAGCGTGGGCTCCGGCTCTGTCATTCCGTCCATTCAAACATTCCAGCTAAATTTATTTTTTTTTAAAAAGCTGAACCGACTGAACCTTACCAACCAACTGCCTGATGACTTTATTCGCCTGAAATTGTCAGCGATGAATCAACTCTCAAGAAGTTCGATGTGACTGAGCTTTAAACGCGCACCACTGTTCGTTTTGAACAAACATTGATCGTTTCCTCGTCTATTCTTTCGCAGTCAGCTGGAGAAGATTATTGTGGCCGGCTACAAGGCGCTGAACCTGCAGTACTTCTTCACCTGCGGACCCGATGAGGTCAAGGCCTGGACCATCCAGGTAAGTGACTGGGGGAGGAGTTGGCTCATGGGGATCCTCGCCGGTGGCATTCACTGTGTTTCAGCTATCACGGGGCCCGTGTCGCTGTGTAATGGGTATCACAGGCTGTCACTGTTGGACACTATCCGGCAGAGGGCAGCTCCATACAGACGTGTCCGACGCTGGGCTCTGGCAGTAATACCGGGGCCAGTGTCACCGACAGCCGGACAAACGGAAATCGGTACTCGGAATCGATGTTTTTTTTTACCTTGGGTTTGGTAGTTTTGATGGAACAAAGGCCTTTTGCTAGGTATATTGGTAGGAGTAAATACAATAAAGTACCCTGGTGTTCCGTGACATACGTTTTTAGTGCTAGGTATTCGAGTCCCAAAGGCGAATCAATTTAAAGTCAATTAGCGACCTTCAGGTCATGTTACTACAAAAATTAGATACAGAAATATCATTGAAACTTTTCCAATAAACATATGAATTAAAATCTGAGAGCCGTCTAAACTGGCACCCAGAACTCGCCACCATACACCATTCGATCGCGAGATCACTGATCGGACTCTGCGCCGGCCAAATTAGCCGTACAATCCGGGGACGCACCGAATCCCCTGATGACGCAGTGAGGCGGATGACGTTCTCCCGCTCCGATGACGCAGTGGGGCGGATGACGCGCTGCCGCTCCGCTGACGCCGCCGCCGTAACCCGGCGTCTCCCGGTGCTGCGCGTCCCCGTCCCGACACGCGGCGTCCGAGCCGTGATAATACAGCCGGCCGCTAACAGAGAACATTTTTCGCATTTTAAGCGAGCTATTCGGCAGTGTGAGTTCACCGACAAAGGCTTAATGAATTTAAACTGCCGCGGACATGGTTGGGGTATTAGCATAAACAGCACGGGACCGGCGCAGTGAGGAGTCGGACGGCCAATTTGGCGCAGAAATAGGCGTGTGCGGGTTACCGGAGGCCCGCTGCGAGAGGGGTGTTGTCCCCTTTCTGTCAACTGGAAGTCGGGGATTTGATTTATGGGAATCTGGTCGGGGTTTAAGGAATGGGTGTTTAAACTTAAAAATGCGTTTATTTCTACCAGAGGCATGATTTTGTTATTTGTAGTCGGTGAATCACCGCAAAGGCATGAAGATTGAAGATAGCATGATTGTTACGGAGCGAGCGAAGCGAGCGGAGTCTTACGTAGAATAACGGAAATTTCTGAGTATGAGCGGCCGGCCGGCCGGCCGGCCGGCCGTGGTCACGATTCTGCGACGCTTATATCTCAGCAACCACTTGACCGATTTACATGCGGTAATTTTTGTAGGGTAGCTTCATTCCTTCTACCAAGTATTGGACTATTCCCGATGCATGTGGGTGACCCCTTATGCACGTGCCACGTGCAAAACGAAGAGGTGTCACTTTTGTAATAGTTGCAATATCTCGGTAACTACTGGGCCGATTGCGCTGAAAGTTGGCATGTTGGTAGGCACCCACTAGGCAATGCATATCCATGTGCCAGAGTTGGGGTGCTGCTGCACGTGCGCACGTGCAGGGGTCGATTCCAGATCTCGAGAACGGCTGGACCGATTGCGCTCAAATTTGGTACACGGTTACGGAGCAGCTAGTAGGGTGCCGTGCACAAGTCAGTTGGGACCCATTTTGCACGTGCGCACGTGCAGGGTGCCGCTTCCAGATCTCGAGAACGGCTGAGCCGATTGTGCTCAAATTTGGCACATCGCTAGAGACCGGTTAGTAGGGCGCCGTGCACAAGTCAGTTGGAGGTACCCCCTCGCAATTTCGCACGTGCAGGGCCCACCCTCTCGCTCGCTCCGTTAATCGCCCCAAAAGGCGTTATACTGGTAGTATGTTAGAGGAGTAAAAGTGTCCAATGCTTAATATCGATCTCTTACAGAACATTCTAACGTCGGCTTCTTCCAAATAAGTACCTCGAATGAACACGGTTTATATTGGTTTAACTAGAAAAAATATCACTAGTTAAATGTGATAGAGGCTTACTCTGGAGCAAACCAACTATTATAAATCATTTTGTCTGGCCGTCTCTGTCCCTTCATCATCTCGCATTCCTCCTTTGCCGCCTCGGGCCGACCCCGCAGCCTCGCTCTCCGCCCCCGGGTCGGGTCAGCCGGCGGCCCTGGTGACGGCTCCTCCCCGCCCCCGGACCCGGGCCGGCACCGTTTCTGATACAGCCGCCCCGGGCAGCGCTAATTTTCCACAATCACACACGTAATGACCTATATGGAGGCGACTATCGAAATGCCAACCGGCGCCCGGCGGACGGATGATGGTTGAGAGGTCACTGGGAGTGGGGGGGGGGGGGAGGAGTGATCTGCCGCGGGGTCACGGACAGATGTGCTGAGTGAGGAGGGAGGGGTCACGGTCACGGGTTTCCGAGAATCGAAAATGATACAGGAAATTCCGCGATTATTCAGTTGACTGTGGGAGTAGCGATTGTGACAAGACTTGCCTTTGAGTTCCAACTCGTGGCAAAAGTTTGATATTCGATTTAGTTTTTGTTTAAGTGAATGTCCATTCGCTGCGTTATATTTCGGAGTGGTAGAGATATTCTATTCCTAGCGCATCTGTATTTAGACGGCAGCTCTTTGTTTGCAACAAGTTTGCAAATGCGCGGCATCCGCCCCATGCACTGCTCGGAATGTCTGTTTTTCTTATTTCCACGTGGGTGTCCGCCGCCTTTATCCTCCGCCGCGGAGGAGTCGGTCGGCGTCCACTATCCCGGCGGTCCATCCCACCTATTTGCCTTGTTCGTGCGGCTCGGTTAAACAAGGGACCCATGTAATGAGTCCGGCGAACAGTCTCTTAGCGCGCCCCAACCGCCGACCGCCGCGGGGCGTTCAGCCGCGCACAGGTTACGACTAAAATCAAACCGAGCCGTACTATGAGTTCGGTTTGACCCGCCCCCGTTTGTGGCCGCCGGGAGGAGGAGAGCCGACGCGGCCCGTTTCCGCGGAGGTGCCCGCCTCTGGAGCTGTTGCGGTCGCGTTTGACGCCCGGTCGCCCCCGCCCCCGCCGCCGCCCCGTGACAACAAATGAGACTGGGCTGATTGCGGCGGCGGCGGCGGCGCGCCTTGAAGCCGGCGCCGGCGGCCCGCCCCCGCCCGCCCCCGGCCACGCCGCCGCCGTGGCGCCGCCAGGTATGCGCCGGCCGGCGCTGGGTCTGCCGCGTGCCCGCCTAGTTATCACAGGTGTTTAGTAAATAGTCGAGTGTCGGCAGCGCTCTGATCTGGCCGTGGGAAAGGGGCGCCCCGCCGCGCCCGCTCCGCCCCCTCGTGCCCTGATTTAGAGCACAGGGGGAGTACCAAGGGGTAGGCGGTGGGCTTGAAGGGGGTTTGAGAATGAGGACGGGGTACCGGGGAATATTGCGGGAGGGGGAGTCAGATCGGGGAGAGGCCGGGAGGAGAGATGGGAGGGGTCTGTAATAAAGGTGGATGGTTAGCGGGCTGGGTACGACTGAGAACGGCAGTACGGCGGTCGGCGGCGGCCGTTACGGCGTGTCTGCGGTGGCTGCAACGTCCTGCGGTTACCCGGGATGTGGTTATCGGGACGGTTACCGAACCGGTTACCTGTAACGGAGACACTCCGCGCGGCGGAAGCTGGTTGGATGAGGTGGTTCCCGGTAAACCATACCACGCGCCATTGGCTGAAATGTGGGCTGATCTTTCCTGGAGTGTAGGAAATTATCTTTGTTTCTGGGTGTAATCACGGGAGATGATTTAGTGAGCGCTTCCTTTCCGTAGTCGTGAAATGGGCGGGTTCGGCTGTCAGCCGCGCGTACGGTTTTACTGGAATTCTTTGTTCGGTGGTTTTGGCTGCAGAACTTCAACGTGAGCTATTTAGCTATCGTCGAATTTTAGTGCTTAACCGAACACGGCTATATCGTGTGACGTGTTTTGTGACGGCCTTGGTTTTGTGATAATTTAGGTAGCGAAAGGCGCCGATGGCATGGCCATCAAGATAAAGGGGAACTTTCTTGGCAATTCGAGATGTGTGCACCAAACCTAACACGAACACAGTGCAAGCATTTCCTGTCATTCTCCTTCAATTTTCTAGGTTGAGAAAGACTAACGCGTGGTTTTTATTTCGTGTGAAACAGAAAGCCCGCAAAACACTTGCATTGTGCCCTATTGTACCACGCCGTTTGAACCCCTGTTCGTGTCTCCTCACATCCTGTCGTTGACTATGTGGTGTGTTGCTGACGTGTGATTCCCTGGTCTGCGTGTCCCGCTCCCTGCCCTCCTATATCATCGCTGCTCGTCGTTACTACACTGCGAGCTGACCCCTGACCTAACCTCTGCCCCCAGGCGGGAACCAAGGCGCCCCAGGCGGCCGGCCGGATCCATACCGACTTCGAGAAGGGCTTCATCATGGCTGAGGTCATGAAGTACGCTGACTTCCACGAGCTCGGCTCAGAAGCAGCCGTTAAGGTGAGAGAACTGCTGATCGATGGGTGGGGTTCAGATGTGACCGTTGATTTCGTGAACATGGGTAAGAGATTGAGAGCTCTGAGTTGCCCCAGTCGGGATTACGAGAATATTGAACTGGATGTCGCACGTGTCTATGTTCTATGCCCCTATGCAGCTATCACAGCAGATATCTACATTGGTCTTTTTTTTTGCTTTGATTAATATATATGCATATTTTTTAATTAGATTTGTGGTGTCTGACATCTGAGAAACGAAGCACAACAAGAGTCGATTTCTGTTGAGTGGTAACTGACGGGCCTGTCCCCTGGTGGCCGATGAGTGAACCTGTGTTACCGATGGACTGCCGGGTGTCTTGTAGTTCCAGCGCCAATGTGTCGTGCATACCGTTCGCTCGTTGGTGGGTTTGTCCCCCCTCCCTCCCCTCCGTTATACGCATAAATGCGACGTTCATTTCATTAAACTGATTAGGTGTTCACACAAGTGTGGGTTCGGGGTTGTGGCGTTTATAGTGGAGCAGTGGGGTTTCAGCAGATCTAATGCTGCGTTCCATGAGTTTGGTCCTCGACAGCCGGCGGAAGTATTCTACTGTGTTCGGTGTGGTCTACTTCTACTGCTGTCCTGCGTTCCGAGACCGGATGTCTATAGCACTTGATGTAAACGTAACTATCGCAGAGCTGCTCTGTGTTACATTCCCCGAGTCCTTCGAAGGGTGGTATTTTCGTTTCCCTTTTATCCTTCATATTTATTCAGCAACATTTCAGCACGGGTACACATTATAACTGGCACAAACAACGCAAAACCATAAGATGTCAGCAATCGTTGACGTGATACATCAAATAAACAAAGCAAACAACAGGCAACAAACAGCAATTACGAAACTCATGAACCCAAACCCAGTTTTCACACAGCGTACCAGGCGGCCGGCGCCGAAACTGGAGCTTCAGCTTCTATCCGCTAGATGTCAGCCTTGGCGGCCAGCTGGCTGGCGGCGCACTCTGCCGTGGCACAGAGCAGCTCTCCATCCGCATCGATAAACCCTCGCCCGACCAGCGACTGTTTGCAGACGGTGCACACGAAACAGGCGTTATGCCAGCACCGGTCGCGGAATACGCTGTACTTTGTCCCTGGCTCGCGTGGGATCATCTCCTGACAGGACGCACATCGCTTGGAGAACAGTTTTGTGTAGCAGTCGGCACAGTAGCAGCGCTGCGCGCGGCTGCGAAACTTCTGACCAGCGAGCGGTGTCTCACAGCCGGCGCAGACGAAGCAGCGCCGGTGAAACGTCTCGCCCTGGTAGGTGACGCCGAGACTAGTGATGGTGCCGCCACAGCCGCGGCAGCGCGCAGCGAACGTGTCCTCGTAGCAGCGCGGACAGAAGAGGCGCTGTTCCTTGGGTAGGAAAGTGCGCGCATCGAGAGGAGTCTGACACACGCAGCAGATGAAGCACGCCTGGTGCCAGTGGAACGCCTTGTAGACGACCTGCGGTGTGTCTGCTGCGATGGCGGCGCTGCAGGCGCTACAGGCCGGCGCGACGGCCGACTCTCCGCAGCAGGGGGCGCACAGAGCTCGTCCGTCGTGCAGAGCAAATTGCTGGCCCTCGAGAGGCGTCCCGCAGGCGCGGCAGGTGAAACAGTCGCTGTGCCAGTGCCGGCCGCCGTACGACAGCTGGCGGCTGTCGAGCTCGATGGATTGGTCACAGCCGAGACAGACGGGCGCTCCGGCGGCACGGTAACACTCCAGGCACAGCGGCGCGCCGAGTCGGAGCGCAAATCGGCGCGAGTCTAGAGGCACTGCACATCGGTCACAGGCGAGGTGCTCGCGGTGCCAGGCCAGGCCGAGCGCGCACACAAACTCGCCCGAGAATATCAGCTCGTCACAGGCGGCACAACGCGGTCGCAGTCGCTCGCCGTGGTGACGGAGGCAGAGCGGTTCTCCGAACAGCTCACAGAACACCAGGTCGGCGAGCGGCTCGGCGCAGTCGGCACATCGGAAGCAGGCCGGGTGCCAGGCAGAGATGGGGAAGCGACGCGCGGTGACGGCCAGCGCGCCGGCGGTGATGGTCTTTCGGCAGCCGCGGCAGACTTTGGTGCCCATCAGACGCGTCACCACGCCCGCCTCGAGCGCCAGCCGGCGCCGCGCGGCCGCCCACTCTGCGAACGCACCGCGCTGCTCGGCACTGACGTGTCGACAGCAGGCGAGCGAGAGGTCGTGTGCGGGCAGCTGGCGCAGCAGGCGGCGAGTGCGCTCCCGCTGGCCGGGCGAGTGCAGCAGCGGCCGCAGCTGCTCGGGCAGCTGCCGCATGAACTCGCCGGCAGCTCCGGACGGCAGGCCAGCCGGCAGCCACGAGTATCCAGCACGCAGGGCGGATTCGGACTGGAACGGCCCCTCGGCGGGGTTGAAGTCACACAGGGCGTCACCGGCCACCGTGCGTCCGTCCACCGGTTGTGCCCGCGGCCGGCCCGACGGTGGTAGATCGCTGCTCACCTCAGCCGGAGCCGTGATGAGGATATCCTGGGCAGTGCAGGTAGGTCGCACGCCGCGCGCCGATTCGAGCGCTGCGGCTAACTCGGCGCGGACGGCGCGCCACTGCGCCGCCGCCGGCTCGGAAGAGCGGCAGGCGGCGCAGCGGCGGCGGTGGCGCAGCTGGTGCGCCGGCATCACTGGCGCCTCCTCCTCCGGCACCGGCTCGCTAACCGGTCGTGGTGTGAGCGTCACCGCCTTTGGGAAGGCCGGTGTGAGCTCTGTACACTCCTCTAACACACAGGGGCTCGGCCGCGGCGAGGCGGACTGCTGGCGCGCGTGCTGCTCGGTCACCGGTCGCGGCGGCAGCGTCAGGGGACGCAGTTTCTGCTGCGGAGGCACCTCCAGAGAGTTGGGCGACCTGGGCCCTCCGACTGCTGGCGAGGCTGGCCCGCTAGCTCCGCTCGACTCACTGTCACAGTTACTCCGTTTGGGGCTCGGACTGGAGGCCCGCCGGACTGTGCCGACCTCTGCAAACCCGGCCGGTGGCTGGTGGAGCACGCAGCTGTCGGCGCGGCGAGCGAGGACAATCACAGGCCGCGGCTGTTCTGCGGAGCGCCATCGGATCCGCTTCTTGATCTTGTTCTTGGTGCTGGGTGCGGCTGCCGTCTTTTCGCCCGTAGAGTTGGAACTCGGTGAGGAGTGAGAGAGGTTTGCTGCCAGCTTGGCTGTGGCCTCCACGGCCTTATTCTTCAGCGCTTGACGCTTACCCACCATGCTGGTTTCGATGCTTTGGTAATCTAGTCTGCAGCAACGGCGCTTTGCTAGTCCCAAGATGCTGACTGCGGCTTTATTTGATAGCAAATTTAATCAACGATTTCTTTTTCAGCACTGCTACATTGCACCAGCAAATTTTCCACCAGCAGTTTTTTTCTTCAGACGCGTCCCTTAGCTGAGCACGCTAATCAAACACTTCCCGCTGTACACCAGTTGTCACTGCTCAGTATGCCTCCCTCCGCTCTCGTACCGTCCAACCGACCACTGAACACGACTGCTCGCGCCACCACCTGACTCGCGGCTGGCTGCCGGCCGACTGGCCGACCTCTCCGCGCCCCAACACGTGTCCGTTCCGTCGACTCCGACGGCTCCGTCGGTCCCGTCGGCTGCGACGATGGTAGCGGCGCGGCTGTCGGCTCGTCTCAGCGCCCCACCGCCGTCGGCAGGTGGCTGATGACCGTTGTCCGGAACACTGCTGTCCCGGACAGCTGTTATGGTGGACTCGGGAGTCCAGAGGACAACTAGGAGGTGTTGATGGGTTGGACTGTCGGCTGAGAATCTCTGGGGAGTTGTTGGAGTTGGAATAGATTGAGCTGGAGTTTTTGGCGTCAGCTGCCGAATGCCTGCTAATCGTTGCGGTTGGTGATAACTAAGGCGGTTGTTTGTCGCAAATGGTCGCAGTTGGGGACGGGTGAGTTATATCCACCAGTGTTTGAGAGCTAGTTTCACACTGAAACCGCCTGGGTGGCACGTTCTCTTAAACTGGGTCCCGGGCGGCGAGATTAGAACGGTGGGCCGTGGCGCGGCGTTGTTCACAAACTCGATCTTTATGCACTCGGCTGTGATGTCAGCATGACCCCTGACGGTTGAGCTCGACTGATGACTGAACGCTGCAGTGGCAGTCACTGTCAACAATGTCAGTCAACGGCGCTGTTTTCTCAGTCACCGATACTGACAGGTAGAACGGACAACACCGCGAAACGACACTGAAACGCCGAATCACTCTGGCTTTGCCTGAACGCCACACGCACGACACACCCGCCACCGTCCTCCCCGTGACCCGACTGACCCGCCGGCCCCAAACTACCGAGTATGTGAGCTCTACTCCGGCGGGTCGCCCCCCGCGGGCACTGTCCGTGCGCCTGCACTCGGTCATGGGTCTGTGACAGAGCACGCCCATCAGAGAAGGGAGGGGGCGTCAGCCCAACAGCCACTAGCTAGTCTGTAGGGAGAGAGCGGGAGTGGGTAACGCGAGGACATATTGAGTCGGACGGTGACCTGACAAAATGGGAGGAACTGCATACGGCTGAACAAAGTCATCATGTCGGCTAACCCAGATGACCAACGGTTATGCGGTTAAGGCATTCAGGGTATCCTGAAACAAAAGTGCTTCAAAATTTTAAAACTCGTTGTACTCAGTTGTTTTGATAGATGAGTTTTGTTGTTTGCCAGCGTGAGTGAATATCGCGAATAAGTCTTGGAGCGTATTATAACGCTATAATAAGGTATAATAACGCTGGCTGAACGTATTCCTTTTTATTTTTCCTTCTGACTCGTTTCCGGTCCTACCGTGTTTTCCTTCCGACAGTTGAGTAAACAAGCCCTCAGATGCTGGTTCGAATCATGTTAGCATCCACAATAAACTACCCGAGCCCTAAGCCAAACACAATGCTCTAATTCGGTCTCTGATTCAGTTCATATACGTGCTGTGGTGTTGATCTCGCGCCAATATTTGGCGCCATGTTCCACCGCAATGCTTATTCACTGGCACGGGTCGACCCCTCCTCTGGCCTTTGTACAACCAGCCGGCCAGCTCACACCTCCAAAGCCGTGCCAAGTAGCGTCCAATTCCCGGAGGTATATTTCAGACGGAGGCCGCGGATCGGTTTCGAGGTGGCCTTGGCTTTGGATCTCGATCGTGCATCCGTCTCTGGCTTTGGGTTTGCGATCGTTTTCGGGTTTGTGCACTGTCTGGTGGTGTTTATCTTTTCTCAGGAGACTTGTCTAGCGAGAAGGGTTGTGTTTAATTCCTGCGATTGGGTTGAATTTGAATGTCAGGGAGGCTACTTTGGAGTGATAACCGGATGTTGGTACTATCCAAGCACGTTTGGATCGGTCTCGTGGTCGGAGACCGGTGTAAAAATACGGGATCGCCGGGTCGACAGTTGATATTGCTGCGGGTGCGGCTGTTTCTTCGACAGATTGATGGGCAGTAGACAGCTGATTGGAAAAGCGCCGCTGCTGTTCCAAAATAGCATTGACGTCATTGAGATCTCCTGGAGATTGTGGGAAGAGGACCCGACCCGGTCCACTCGATAGTGAGGTTTCGGTTCGAATCTTCTCAGCTCCCGATGTTTGCTGGGGACCAGGATAGGTCTCGGAAGCGGTAGGTGTTTAGAACAATTGACGTCATTAGGACGTGATCGAAGTTGTTCTGAGCCGACAACGTGAATAATTTGTGTCCGTAAAACCTGCGAATTTCTAGAAAGAATGCTGGGGAAAAGAACGATGTTGTTACGACCGCTTGTTGCGAAAAATCGCTCGACGAGCTGCTGACTACCTTGTTGCCGTCCTTCTACCGCTGTCAGTTCCGCCAGCGTGAGCCGTTATCGTTTCGTTGACTGACTTTCTCTAGTTCTCACTGCACGGCCCTCAATATCTGGCTCCGAGTCCCAGCTTTTTGCAGATGTGCACTGAAACGCGTGTTCTGCGTCATTGTGTCTGTCTGGCCGAGAGTACTAGTCAGATTGTTGGCAGGCTCTGTCGAAGTCTGCACTCTGATCCAACTCACTTCTGTCGGGAATACCAAGCTGAGGCTGTTTATTTATTCAGAATTTTGGCTTATCATTGCTTATTGGCATACTACTATCGTGTAATGCGTTCTTTTTGTGTTATGTCGTTCGATTAACCTTCCAGGCGGTGGGGGGGGCAATTTTTTGCCCCCCCTTTAGTTTTTTCGATATATCTCGAGAACCGCTGCGCCGATCGTCACCAAACTTTCAGTACCCTCCCGGGAGCAGCTAGCGCACATGGTGACCAAAAATTTTTCCAAAGGCTATGATAGGTTGGCCGCTAATGACGTCAGAGTGACGTCATTTTTGCCATTTTCGACCCAAAAAAAGGTTTCGCGGGAAGAGCTGTCAGGCCTACAGCTTTAGAGATACAGAAAAATGTTTCAGACATAAAAGGTGTAAAACTAAAAGGGCTACAAAACTGCTATTTCGGTTTTTCGAATTTTTTGGATTTTGACCCCCAAAAATCAAAAAATAGATTTTTTGAATATAATAGCCAAAAAATCCAAAAAGTTTTTTGAATTTCGGAAAAACCGGAATATATGTGATAGCCCCTACCGCCTTCTATCTACATACCAAATTTGAGATCGATACCTCTTTTTTTGGCGAAGTTATAGCGAAAAAACTGTTCAAAATTGATGACGTCAAATTTTCAAACTCAATTTTTAGCAATTCTAGACCTCATAGCGCAAAACAAAGACCACCATTAGACTCCCCGTGACGAGCTGCATCGAATCGATACCCATTTTATGCATAAATATCAACTTTGAAATTTGACCTTTTTTGACCTGACCTTGACCTGACCTCCACCAGAAAGTGACCCAAACCGTACCTGATGGTCTTATAACCAACACCATTGAGTTGGAAATGAAAAACTGGCCATAAAACATGCATCGCATAACCTTAGTAAAGTTGGGCTCATGTGGTGACCCTTGGTGACCTTTGGTGACCTGACCTGTGACCTGACCTGGTATGACCAGTGACCTCTAATAGCAACATATGTACCAGACAACTGACGCCTTATCGCTGATTTTCGACAAAATGCGTTTTACTCGGTGTTATAGCGCTTTCCCTAGAAGCCCCGTGAACGGTGAAACATTTTATCTTTGACCTGACCTGTGACGTCATCGGTGACCCCGAGGTCAATGAAATTTGGTTTCCTTCGACAAATTTGACAGGGCTATCGAACGCCGTTTGAATTTTCCGGATCCGTCCAGTAGTTTCGGAGATACGGGGGGGGGGGCAAAAAAGTGCCCCCCCCCCACCGCGCGGAAGGTGGCTGGTAGGCCCACCGCCTGCCGGGTTAACCCGCGAGTTGCTGGGGGGGGGGCGTTAAACGCCCCCACTTTTTTCGCCGGGCCATAGCATAAAAACGGCGCGCCGAAGGCGCGCCAAATTTTGGGTACCTGTAGGGAATTGATTGAAGTTTATTGTGACAAAGTTTAAAAAAAATCGGTCGGAAAATTTTTGAGATATCGAGATTTTAGTTACGTCATGATTTTTGAATTTTCGACCAAAAACGGCGTATGTTCAAAAAATCATATAAAATCACAGAATAGACATACAGACATGCCGTAAACGCCATTAGACTGCCAATACCATGAACAATCAAATGGCTATCTTCGATTATTGATTATCGTTCCGCATTTTCAAAAATCTTGAACTGAATCTTGACAATTTCTCGTGACTCCTTCACGACTATGATACATGCATTTCTTAAATTAAACATTTTTAGCCAAACACGTACACATATGATAAAATGAATGTCACCATCGTGTTCTACGCCCCAAATTACCCATAAAACATGTGTCACGGGCTGCGAATATCAGTTTTGATTTTCGGGGATATGTGCCTACCCGGTTGACCTGACCTTGACCCTGACCTATGCTTGACTGACCCCTACATGGAGCTGACACTCTTGTAGGCCTTATACGATGGATTGTGCACCATTTTGACAGAGTTTATGACGAGAGGCGCCCATTGCGAAGTCCTGAAGTCCATGCTACTGAAAGGCCGATTTCAGGTGTTTGACCTGACCTTGACCCGACCTGTGACCTCAAAACTCAACTTTAAAGTACTCATCTGAAGCGTCTCGTCGCGCTCTTTCGTTTGCCGCCTCGTGCGTTTCGCTGCGCCTATTGGTTCTCGAGTTATCGGCTGGGGGCGTTTAACGCCCCCCCCCCCCAGCAAACGGTGGGTGGCGAAATACCCCAGCAACTGCCGGGTTAATCGCAATGACATCCCTTGGCTTTTATTTCATTTTTTCCCAAGGGGTTTTTCTCTCAAGTATGTTAAGCACGTAGTAAAAGAGTTATTGGAACGATGTAACAACGCATTCTGATCAAAGTTCGTAACATTTGTACCTCAGGTATCATTTTATGGCGATACTTAAACTGAAAATAGCGATTGGTTTGTTATCTTCTTTCAGCTTTATGTCCTCATTCAGGTCTAAAATAGCGTGGCGTCTACTATTGATCTTTCATCTAAACACGAACCGTTTTGATCCTAAAGAGTCTCATTTACATGGTCTGTCTGTTTGTCTTTGACAAGGATACGGTCTATTAATATCTACTCTCGTGTGACGTGGGCTGTGTAATATGATGTAATCGATTCGTCGAAGTCACAGTCTACCGGCACAGACAAGAACCGGGTGGGTGAGAGCCCCCCTCCCCTCCTCCGAACGTGCGTGGGCCCGGGCTGCCTCGCGCGCCCCCAATGCGCCTCCCGCTGCCAGGTTTTCTCAGATGATCCTCCGGAAAATGAGGCTGCGCTACTCAAAATAGCGCCCCGCCATTCGGTGATAAGTGTGGTATGCGACGGGAGGGGGAGCGGGGGCACTTAATGGGGCTAGCGGTGAAGTGTGTGTGGGGGGGGGGGGGGTGAGGGGAAAGCAGCGGCAGGGCGTTGGACGGCTGTCTGAGTATGGTCGCGGCCGTCTGTCCGTCTGTTGTGTGTGTTGTTGTTTTGTGCCTCCCTAACACCTTACTGTCAAACAGCAGTGAATGGCGGCCGGTGGTCCTGTGTTTGTTGAGAAAGGCTTACGATAACAGGGTGCGACAGAGGGTGTCATTGTTTACCGTCCCTGTCTGACCGGGCCCGGCGCTCTGGAAGGTCGCACCTGAGCGCGGCGGCTAATGCGGCGCTCTGGGGCACCTGTCAGCGTTGAAAGCGTCCGGGTCACTTTCAGTGGCATCACTAAATGTGTAACGAGATGTCAACAACAACAAAATAATCATTGATCGATTTATTTCACTCACAATATGACACGCGACTTCCTCTAGCGGTTAAGCGCCTGAAGCCACCACAAAGAAGATTTCCTGGTGACGTGTGTATCGTTCCCGGTCCTCTCCTCTCCGCCGCAGCAGACCACGGCTCGCCTGTGCCTGCTGTTCGATCGGTCCCCATTTGTCCAATTTTAGAATGGTGCTGTGTGCCGTCTGACAGGACGTCTGTCTGCATCAGGGGCCAATTAGTGGGTTAACGTCACCGATCGACTGCGTTCCACCGCTGTACGACGCACAGAGCGGTTCCAGCTCTGATGAGCTCTGTTCTCGTTATGGGACGCACATTGGTGCGACTGTGTTCAAGGCTTTTTGAACACCATCCTGTGAATCAGTAGCGCGGTGGATGATTTTATGGTCATGCCTTTGGAAAGCAATATGCACCCGAACGGTATTATCAACAAGTGAGAAAATTATGAAGGGCAGCGCCAGCTGTTGTGCTCTTGTCTTCTTTCTTATGAAAGTTTCGACAGTTCTGACCTTTGCTCGATCAGAATATGAGGAAGTTTGCCATGCTGTATTGTTTATTGCTAGCACATGCTGCTGTTTTGTGGCTTTGGTTACGGTTTGTTGATTGTACTAGCATTGACCTTTGGTGCCTTCCGTGACTGCCTGTTAGACCGTCTGATCCTGATGTATTGACCCGTTGACCCAGTGATCCTGACCCTACTGACACACTGCCCTTGGTGTACGAATGTTTGCCCCCACCCGATGACCTGTCTGACGGTCCGTCTCCTTTGACAGGCGGCCGGCGGCTACCGACAGCAAGGTAAGACCTACGTCGTCGAAGACGGCGACATCATCTACTTCAAATTCAACGCCGGTGCGGGACTCACCGGCAAAAAGAAGTGAACCCGCGCACGCGCACAAACCAACGTGCACGTGCAACGCCTAGGTTTTGGATTTTTCTATTGGTGGACTTTATCAAATTAATATACCGACGTATTTCGGAGAGCTGCTTGTTGGGTGGACTGTGATGGCTTAACGGCAGTGCTGGAGAATTTCTAACATGTTCCGGCTGAGTGCCGGTGCCTGGCCGGCCGGGCCTGTGGTCCTGCTGTGTTGGGCGGCTTGTGGCGTTTGGACGTACTCGGCGGGAGGATTGGTTCCCCTCTCCGTGACTGCCAATACAAGTTGACGTGTGCAGCGATCGTCGTTCCGATAGTGAAAGCTAGTGAAGGTAAAGCTGTCAGTTGCTGATTATGTAGGGACATATTTGCTTTATGAGGTTATCGGTGGAGCCAACCGAAAAAAAAATGCTGTCAGTGGCGGGTGGGACATAAGGATGCATTTTTATTATTTCATAATAAGGAGATGCATTATTTTCATAATGTTCGCTCTCGCTCTGTTTCTGAAGCCACATCATCGCTATTTTCGCCCCACATTGGTGCCCCATTTCGGCTCTCCGGTGACGAATCCACCGACCGCAGGCGTGACTCCACACATTATGAGACTGGAAGCTCCACCCGTGGCACGACTGGAAGTGACGGCGACACGTCACGCCCACAGCCATCACGATGAGATCACCACCTGGCACGCTGCACCAGACGTCACCATTCGTTACTCCGTGTCTTAGACGGCGGCGACTGAGGCGCCAGCAACAGCAGTTTTATCGAAAATAGAGCGGCGGTAGGGACCGGGTCGGCAGGGATGGCCAGCCATGCCACGGACAGCGGCTGTGGCGCTGTCAACTGTCATTTGGGTGCCACCTCGGTCCCATGCCGTCCTGTCATCACATGGTGGTGCTGCCAGCGTGCTGTAATTTATCACGGGAGGCTGGGATTTATCCATGTCGCAGCCGCACCTGACAGTGCCACCCAGTGGTCGAGGGGGTGAAACTGAAACCCTCGACTGGTGTGGTGCGAAACAAGGTAGAAACTAGAGACTAATATAATTATATAAGACTAATATAATTATATAATTATAATAATTAAATAAGCGAAACTGGAGGAGTGAGGGATGACGATAATCACTCTGTCAGGAACTTACGTTACTAAATCACATGCCTTGAAAATGTATCATCTTCAAACTTAAGCTTAAAGGAAAATATTTAAAATATCAACTTAATCCCACACTTTTTGAAGGTTTTGCGGCCTGCTTTACTTTCCACCACACCGATTGCACTACTCTGATGGATCTATTCCACGAATGCCAGACTGGATACGAGAATAGCACAATCAGACACAAACCAGGGACTCGGTCTCACACACACGCACGCCCAGACAGCACGCGCCGTCTGACAGCGCACAGTGGGGCTGACGGCGAGACAGGAGCTGGCTGGGGTCCAACGTGCGGTGAAGTCGAGCGATCGGACTGCTCGTCGTCACGGTTCACGGCCGTTGCATCGAGCGCTACAAAGTAAGGACACGTGTAGTGTGAAGACTGGTGTGATGGCGGGCGGTAACTCTCAAGAGTGAGGGTCAGGCGAGTATAGATTGGAAACTTAGAGCCCTACAAGTCTGGCCAAAAGAATATCACTTCTTGAATGGTTCGTGACTTCGGAATTTGGAGTACCTGTTACTTATGTCTTGAGCTTTCGGTGACAAGCGGCTGCGGCTCTTGAATGCTTAAGGAATGCTCGGATTAAATGCAAAGCACCTTTATACTCATCCTCAGGATCAAGCGTGACACATTGCAGGTTTAACCGCACCAACAAATCACGATCCTCTACCATCCACCCAGTGATAAAACACTGTCACAACACCCATCAATCGTCCCTCTCTCACAACCACCCTCGGCCTCCAATGCATCACGGCTAAATGATGGACCACGTCAGTAAGCTAAACCGACATGATCCATCAGAGCTTGTTGGCCCAGGGTGTGCCCCCCCCCCGCCAGGTGTCAACCCCCCCCCCCCCCCCCCCCGGAGGGAGGGGTACTAATGGCAGTGGTGAGGGGCAGGGTCGATTGACGGGCTGGAACCAGCAGAGAACAGTAGATGTTTATTGTGATTGTGGTGGGTTTGGAGCATGTCTTGGGAGGATAAAAGCGAGCCCTTAGCCCTAGCTTAGTCCTGGTGTAGGTGAATGCATGCTTTCTTGTGCTGTTGTAGATAACAGCGGATGTTTGTGTTTCCGCTGAGAGAACAGAAGTCGTTGTTCTGGTCTCGAGTTGTTGTAACAGTCGTGTAGAGGCGTAGTTTGTAGCAAGTGATGTGTCGTCTCGAGCTCAAGGTTCGCCGTTGGCTTGAGAGGTCGGTAGTGTTTTTACGGCCCACACACTTACGAACCACAAACGATGGAAAATACCGGGCTCCCAAATCACAATGGAAAAGTCGTGTATTCAACACTTATGCTCAGATTGAATGCAACATGGTGTTTTACTGAGCTGCTCGGAGCTGCTCAACAATCGTTGAAGGGCACGGGTGTCAAGCAAATTGAACAAATAATTATACCTAACTTCAGCCAATACTGGTCTTGATGTCTGATGAAGTCTGACACCAACTAACGCCCGCTTGAACGAATTCCGCGATTCGTTCCGCAACACTTTTCTGTCTCTTCTGTTCATCGATTAATATTTGAACTTAATCAAGCCGGAACACAAGGGTTTCCACGCAACGCCATCAGACATTTGCATCACAGCATTGAACGACGCCCCGTGGTTTCTTCCTAGGCTCATCTCAAGGATTATGGCAGTTATAGCCAGCAATATTTGATCATGATGATGACCCGGGAACAAACGCATTGTACTGCTGCTCAACTCGCTGCTTCACAAAGTCGTAAAACTCGTATTCAGTAGTTAGATTCGCCCGTAGAACCTCCCTCGCATTGGGTGAGAGCTCGTCCAGCGATCTCGGGATCATAGAGTCACCTGGCGGCAAACGTTAAAAGTAGTAGCTAGCAGGTGGCGCTGGTGTGCTGAGGGTGCCAGGTGAAGGTGCGGAGAGCTCGTCAGACGGTCACAAAGAGTTGGTTAGGTGGAGAGGATATTTTGGAGGTAAACACTG